TTGATAACTCGTTAACGGTGCCTCGGAGAACATTTTTGTAAAGGAAGAAGTTGCTTCGAATGATGCGAGGAACCCGCCATTTCCGGATTGCGAGACATTTTTGGGACACCCTGTAGACTGTTGTAAATCGATGCGAAGACAAAAGAAGTGTGGAACAATGCATACGAAGACGATTATTTGGTTCAAACGATGAGCGAGTGAGCTACTAGAGCAAGTCACTATAGCGGCGCGTCGTCCAGAGAGCTGACATCCGCGAAAGCCACTATAGTGGCGTGTCGTTCTGAAAGATGACATCCGCGAAAGTCGCTATAGTGGCGCGTCGCGCCTAAAAGATTAATACTTGTACAAAGGGTCCAAAGTATCGTCGATCGACGAGGAACGCGAGAAAAAATAGCTTCTCGTAACGAAATTGAATTGGTAGCGATACGCACACAAGAGATCGGCGATTCGTGTATTGTAATTTCGACGAGTGAAACTGCTCGCTCGCTCCCTGCAAGGGCACTCGTACGAATACGCGAAAGTGGAACGCGGAATCGTCGATGTGGAAGCGAGGAAGGAAGTCAGTCTCTCCGGTAGTGTCGCTCGCCGGTTACTTCGGAGACTCCCTGTACGCGGTATTAATCGGGCTATACGCGACGCTGCGAGCCCATTAGCGATTGCGATTCGAGTGCGGTCAAGGAAACGATAGACGTATCCTTGATCGCGCAAGCATCTCCGTGAGAAACGAGAGAGCCGGAGCCTCGCGGGAGATGCGACGGGCACCGATCGAACGTAAATCAAGGGCCGTATCTCTTATCAGGCGGTGGTCTTAGAGGGCAAATACTGGAAGCGGAAACTTGCTGCGGTTACTGCGGAATACAAGAAATGGCGAATGTTCTACCGCAACAAGATCCTTGGCTGGACGAACAAGGATGGCACCGAGATGGTACTGCACCCTTTGCTTAGAATCCTTCGTTCTGCTGCGACCAATTCCGGGCATCGTACCCGAATTCGGACTCGGTTTCCGAGGAGCAAGAATTTTCTCGAAGAGATCCTCGTTCCAAAGAACGATTCGGGGGCGATGCTCGATTTGCGAGCGACAGAATAAAGAGATTCTTTCGAATCGCTCGGCGTGCCATTTGCCGATACCGGAATCTTGATTCCAGATGGAATCGATGGACGTGTTAGACTGGGGCAACGGATTAGGAACCACCGGGAACTTCGGAGCGGGTACTGGGAGCACACACGGAGGGACCAGTGGCACTCCAGGAGGCGAGAGTATGATGGTTGACGAGGATTACATGGAGCTGATGACCGATACGTTATTTTCGACGATCAGTTCGAACCAACCGCTGTACTTTCCCGACCCGAGAGAGATTGGTAAGCGACGCGAGAGATTTTCGTTTGTTCCACCGTATCGATCGTTTCTGGAAAATTGCAGCGCGCGGAGCTAGTCTGGCAGATTTTATACAGCCCAGCCTGGGCCCGCTCCAGCCGAATTTAGACGACTTTATGGATACTCTGGAACCGTTGCAAGGTAAGCGAACGCGCTGTTTTCGTACCGTTCGAGAGAGAGAGAGAGAGAGAGAGAGAGAGAGAGAGAGAGAGAGAGAGAGAACGATACCGAGTGCGCGGTTTATCGGGTCGGACGGTGATCGATCGGCGATTTTCTTTCAGAATTTCTAAATTCGAAATTGCCTCCCGTGCCCGAGGAGGACGACATGTTTCGTAGCAGCGCGCTGAACTCGAACTACCCCGTTCTGGACTTGATGGCGCCGATGAATCAGATGAACGAGATGGGCCAAGAATCGGCGGTGAAGAACGGGCAGACTCCACAGTCGACGTTGTCGCAGAACGATCAATCGAACGCTATACAGAATCTTCAGTACGCGGCGAAGATATATACTCAGTCCGAGCAGACGAACGCCTTCAGGAACAATATGTAACGATGCATGATTTTCCCCGCGGACTTTGAAAATACCTATATTAGATGATTTTGTTAACATCGTTCGAAACGATTGCAGTAGTCTAAGCGAGACCTACAACGCCATGCAGCCGAGCTACGAGCCTTCTCCGCCGAGTCAGCCGGTCCGGGAGAAGAGTCGACCGAGTAGGAACTCCTCGAGAAGCAACCGAGTGATGCAACAGCCTCAGCAGCAGCAGCAGCAACAACAGCAACAACAGAACGCGTACCAACGATCGGCGCAGCAGCAGCAGAACGCGGGCTACCAGCAAGCGTCCCAGCAACCGTTCGCCATGGAGATCCAAGCGGTCCAATTGACGACGGTACAGAATCAGGTGCAGATGCCACCGATGAATGATCAGTCGGTCCATGCGAACCAAATATCGTCTATCGGCGGACACGTACAGAACTTGGTGACGGTGCAACAGAATTTCGGAGGAACGAATTCCTCGGTGCCTACGCAGCACAGAACCATCAGACCCCTGCCACCAGTTGCACCGATGTCCACCAAGCCGTACAAAGTCGTTCAACCGCAACAGTGCTACAAGTTCTCTGGTCTGCCACAGAACTTTAATGCGCAGCAATGTAAATTCAACGCCAATAACTTCAAGGTACTGGCGATAAGCCGGTCTCCTCCGCGGATCGCTTGAATAATGCATACAGGTAGCGGGAGAGAAGTTGCAATTAACAATCGGTTTGTCACGCTCCGCAGACACACCCGGCGCAACAAGTCGTGTCCGTCACCTCGGAACAACCGTCGCAATCGCCGATAGTGTTGCAGTGCAGACCCTCGGGCCTGGATCTCACCACGCCGAATGTACAACCCGCGAAGCTGTTGCCGCAACCGACCATCACGAATTCGGAGAAGGAGGAGATCTTCGCTGTGCCCAAGGTCGGTGATTGCCAGCGCCACGATGCGACGGCATCGTGTGCACTTCCGGTTGCACGGAGTTCCTATCCTGTTTGTGGTCGTTTTGTACGTTTCAACCGCGACGAAAGGCATACAATTTAAGCAGACGTATCTTCTTCGTTTCAGTATCAGATGAAAGCGAGGAGTAGATCTCGAAGTAGCTCGTCGCTAACTGCACCGAGAATGCACCCGCCACCGTTAGTGTCCGCAGCAAGCGATCCCGCTCTAAATCTAAATAACAATGTATTGCTCGCACAGTTACTCACGAATAGTATGTATACTAAGAAACGTACTCTTTGCACGGTTCTTAATTTTCCTATTATAGTATTCGGCGCCCGAAGCGCGATTATTAAGAGAAAACAAACAAAAAATATACCAATAATATCGATCGTGGTATTATGCATTTTATCGACTGATAAAGAATATTATGAGAGATTCAATATCGTTACATAGACACATCTGGTATATACACAATGAATAGTCCGGCTGATAATATAATGCCGAGACTGAACCAAACAGCCACCACTATGAAACACATCTTACCCATGCTTCCACCTTCAGCTTCGCCCACGCAGGTGACGACCACCCACCAGATCACAGCGCCGATCACTGTCCAAACGATGCAAACCGCTACGGTGCAGGTGCAGCCGCAGCAGCAGGTATATTTCACATTGTATTTAGCTGGATACCCGCACCGAGCCATACCACCCGCACCGATACCCGCAAAAGCATTGGTACAAGTAAAAAAAAATCACAATTGTACGTACGAATACTTTTGCGGGACGCCATACGGCGAAGGACCCGTGACAATCTTTCTCTGCCACGGTCCGACGAAAATCGAACGGTCTAAATCCGACGATAGGCATCGTCTGAAAGATATTCACGAGTCCTATTTATATATTTCACGTGTTTTTGATTACGTAACGCTGATATCGTCAATAATAAAACATTGTCTTATATAATTGATGATATATCAAGTGCACACGTGCGTTTCTGTTGCATGTTAGGCGATGCAACAGTCTACTTGCAGCCAGCAAATCTTATTAAATACAAACACCCAATCGCACCAGCCACAAAATAGCCCCGGCTCGCCGAAGGATAGTTCGAACGCGCACAGCCCTCAGGCGTTGAGCCTCAGCCCTTTGCACAGTCCGATGAGTATAGGGAGCCCGTTGTCGCCTTCCCGGGTCTACATAAAGGGCGAGACGGAACGAGGACAGTATAAAGAACAGAGGAGGGTTGGTCACATTCATGCCGAACAGAAGCGTAGATACAACATTAAGAACGGGTTCGACATGCTGCACAGCCTGATACCGCAGCTCAGTCAAAATCCGAATCCGAAGCTGAGCAAGGCCGCCATGCTGCAGAAGGGGGCTGATTATATCAGGCAACTGAAGGCGGAACGGAATCAGTTGAAGGACGAGATGGATAGCTTAAGACATCAAATCGAGTGCCTTAATACGTCGATTAGGTAACGCTGGCTGATTATAACGAATGGACTGCGGATCTTATGGACTCCTCGTTTAACAAAAAAAAAAATTTGTTGCTTGCAAATTCGTGCACAAAATTTATATTCTGTTCTCAAGAACCGCAGTCTAAAAACGATTTCAAACATACCGAAATTTATTAACGCGTTGAATTGTTTTTCAGTAATTGCCAATCTATGCTTCCTGCAACGGGTGCTCCGATTTCTAGACACAGAACTAGCAAAATGAAGGAGATGTTTGACGAGTACGTACGCACACGTACGCGAGAAAATTGGAAATTTTGGATTGTATCCTTTTTTAAAGAGAATCGTGCCGATCGAACAGGACATGGCGAACCTGTGGAGTTAGTAGCTCTTCGTGAAACTTCACACTTCATCCACCGTCGAGTGGGCTAATAAACGACTAATGTTGTAACGTTGATTCCTTGACGAACGTTCTTAGTTCAGTATATTGCTTGAGCCTTTAATGATTTCTTTCAATACTTCGGTATCAACGGCGAGTATCGAAGATCTATACAGAAGTACAATATTATGGGTTGAGCAGCATTGCTCGCTCGTCGATCTCAGACCAGGTTTCTATCGATAAAACACTTCTCTCCTGATTCTTTGTTTCTCTATAGATTGAAACTATTGTTTTCGTTCCAGCTGTTCTGAATTCCCTAAGGTATCTGTGTACTGCCACTGATATTCTATCAGACCCTGGTCGTCTGCCCGAAGAAGCACTCGCAGCAGTAAATCGTACAGAACGGCGACGATCCACTCAGTGACCAATTACGCGAATCCGACGCGGAACGTGTTCGTGTACACATTTTAAGATTAGTCGCGTAACGAGCAGGAGAATAAGTTACCGTAATTTAAGTCAGTTTAGGGAGGATCAGGTACGTGTGATAAGAATTCTTGAAACGGTCATTCTCTTTTTTACAGTAGACACTCTCGGGTCTCCCTTTGCCAACGATCACGGTTGAGCAACGCAGTAAACCCTCAAGTGCAATTTTTCGCTTCCCCTTGTCCCCACCAAAATTGTGATCGAGAAATTTGTAACACCAATTCGAAGAGGTACAAAAAAGTGCGTGTAAATATAAACGATGAATGATTTTGAATCGTGGCGCCGGATATATATTATTATATTACATATTATATATATATGTACATGTATTATATATATATATATTACATATTATATATATGTACATGTATTATATATATATTAATATATATATATATATATATATATATGTATATGTATACATACAGACTGTTGCGAATTTGTAACATGTTGAGATTTTTTTTAATTATCTTGTTTCTGCAAAATGTGTTATCGCATTGATTTACGAACTGCAAGTACATTTATATTTATTACATGATTGTGTACATCGTCTATTTAGGTACATTCGGAAAATTGTATGTTACGAGGTAATTTGCAATAACGAACTCTACGTTTTACTTTCACCGATTCATCGAATTCATTGTAGTACTTGCCTACATATTTAAGTAACATTGAAAAGAACAAAAAAAGATACAGAGAAGAAAAAAAAATGTAGAGCAAACCATTCCATTATATTTTTAATAAGCTTGTTTTTTGGACTAAGTGTAACATTTTTGGCAGTGACGAAAACGTTAAGACTTCGTAACGTCGCGTTATTATAAAAATGAAAGGAGAAATTAGTGTTTCATGGAATTGTTCTATCTCGTTAAGTAACGTTTGTTATTACTTTTAAGACAAAGGCACTTGTAAAAAAAAATATATTGCGAACTCGACGACATATTATTATGTCTTCGGTATATTTTAATAGTAATCAAAGTTTATTTCGAAAACATGATTAACTTTGAATATTCTTTTACCAAAATTGACAAATAAAACGTTGTTTGCGTCCCACGATGTATATGATGGTTCTGAAAAATGTTTTCTTTCTTTTAATGCACGTGAACACATTTCAGAGTACGTAAATAAAACCGGTGCCATTTTGAAAACATGTGGTAATAGAAGACTGGTAATAGGAAACTTGGCCTTTTATTGTAGAAAAAAAAAGTACAGTTACAAGTTGATTAAATGTTATACAATATTTTCGATGACAACCTATCCCATTGCAAGAAATAAACAATTTTTAACATGCATAGTGAGAACTATGAGAGAACGAACAATTTATATTATAAATAAAACGATTTTGCAGCAAATAAAAAATAATAGGTTGCTCACAAATTAAAAGTATGTTGCATACTAATAATGTTATGGAATATGAAGTTTTCAATGCAAAATTTCATGTGATAATGTACAAATCATTTATAAAAATTTCAGTTATTAGTGTTTAAGCTATACAAGACTTCTGGATATTGTAAAGCTCTTGTTTTTACATAATTGTACATAATCGAATACCGAGAGCTCTAAATAATCTCAAAGAAAGCCTCTGAAACTGTTCCTTGTAATATTTACTGGCACCTTAATGGGACGTTACCGTTTACAATATACAGATGTCTTCTACTTACAATTTTTCATTGTGTATGGACTAAGTGACAAATAATATAAAGAAATCAACGAAGGGATGTTTCTTTTTGTACAATATGTATCATATAACTGGGTAAACATTTGTGTAGTTATTCAAATGTTTACTTCCATAAAGGAATTGAAAATTTATATCGCACTCTCTCATTTTCCTATATGCTACCTAACAAAAAGATCGCTTAACAAATTGTTTATTCTTTCATGGACATTGTAATATCAATGGTTAAAATAAAAACTTATCTCACAACAATTTCAAAATTAATAGCATAGTTACTCAATATAAATGAAATCAACCATGGTTATTTTTTGCTATCTTTCTATAGTATTAAATTTTGAGTAACCGAGTAAACATTTGTGTAGTTATTCAAATGTTTACTTCCATAAAGGAATTGAAAATTTATATTGCACCCTTTCATTTTCCGAATGCTACCTAACAAAAAAAAATTGTTTATCCTTTCATGGACATTGTGATATCCATGGTCAAAAGAAAAACTTAAAAACTTATCTCATAATAATTTCGAAATTAATAGCATAGTTACTCAATATAAATGAAATCAACCATGGTTATTTTTTGCTATCTTTCTATAGTATTAAATTTTGAGTAACCGAGTAAACATTTGTGTAGTTATTCAAATGTTTACTTCCATAAAGGAATTGAAAATTTATATCGCACCCTTTCATTTTGCGAATGCTACCTAACAAAAAAAAAATTGTTTATCCTTTCATGGACATTGTGATATCCATGGTCAAAATAAAAACTTATCTCATAATAATTTTCGAAATTAAGTTACTCAATATAAATGAAATCAATCATGGTTTTTTTTATTCAATTTTGAGTATTGGCATTAATGTTGAACATTCATCGCAAAATAAATACAAACATTCAATACTGTTTTCAGTTAGTGGCATTAAACCTGGTACTTTTGTACACGTTGTGGAATGACTGTTTACAGTTTCACTTATTAAATACCCTACCTCTTGTAGGTTCGTATTGTTCAATTTGAAGGCACAAGATGTACAAGTTACTTGTCTCGCTACTTCTGCAAGATTAGATTTCTGACACATAGGACAAATTACCTCGTCAGTTGATGTTAATGCCTCTAATTCTTCCTGACACAATTTTTCATACTCTTCCAAAATCCAAAGTTCTGTGAATATTACATAGGGACATTTTGGAACAAAACAACTTTAACACGTTAACAACTTTGATCACTATTGATTAACTACGAATAAATAAACAACACCAAATAAACTTACCCTCTTTCTTAATCTTATCATTTTCAAGTTCATTAGCTTCTAGAATATCCATAGGAAAGTCGTACGATTTGCCAAAAATCAAACCATATCTGCCTCCGTTAAACCTTTGTCCCCTTTTCTCTCGCATTCTTCGTTGACATCTCTGTAATATTTTATTGTTACTGATTCTGCACTTAATAGTAATCGTATCAATCCCTAAATATGGCTGGTACGTGTTCTTTTATGAAAATTACAAACTTTAATTTATTTAAGCTGTTTGTAATTTTTATATTAATATGTGCAGTAATATAATAGATATATTTGGAAAATAACAATTGAAAAACTGTTCATTTGACCAACAATACTAAGATTTTGAAATACAAGATATAACGTTAGATAAATAACCTCTCGAAGTGCGTGTTGCCACCTATACGATCCACTTCTCATTTTTCTTGCGCATTCTAGAGATTTAAATTTTGATAACATCGTTGGACTGAGAATAACGTTCTCCATAGCTTCTGTGAATAATATAATGTCGAAAATTTGACAAATATATTAACGAACTAACTGAATACACCAATCAACCGATACCAGCAGCTAATTGAAGTTGACAAAGATGTCCGCCAGAAGATTTCGGTAGTGGGATGCGCGGGCCACCACTTTTATACGCATATATATAATTATACGCATATAATTACTTTACAGCCAAAAATGGGGGGTACCTGAGGTCATTCGAAGCAACTTTCTCCTCAGTGAAAATTCAATCCGCAGCTTTATTTAGAGTTATTAACGAAAAATAGTGACCAATGAGAGGCGAGCGCGGGAATTACAAGGTGATCGATCGAACAAATGCAATGCGCTTCGACCGTAGAGTGTGCCAGAAGAAGAGGGAGAACGGTGCGAAACATAATGTACATAAAATCCGGCAAGAATAATCTATCTTCGAAAATTTGAAATTAACGCTTTTTAGATAAGTGGCGCCATACGTGACGTAAGCTTGAACCAGAGTTAAGAGGTTCGTACAGCGCCAATTGGGGTAGTGACAAAACGCTCGAACTGTTGGCCAAAATCGACCGTTGGTATTTTGGCTAACGGTTTGGGTGTTTGGCCGCTACCCCAATTGGCGCTAAATTTAGATTTCATCGAGGAAACGAATTTCGACGTTGTTTTCGCACGATATCGTTGTTAATTCGGTAAGTATCGTTTGCTGCTGTAACAAATTATTCGCTCCATCAACTTTTGTCACAAACGATGCTGTTAAATGCCTAATTCTAGAACAACCGATTTCTGCCAGAATTTACAGTTTTTCTAATGGGATGCGTTGCATTTTCTTCATTTTGAAAAGTGAATACACATATTAGAACGCAAAAGGTACGGTAGGTAAAGGCTGCGCTTCTCCATATTTTTCGAGGAGATTCGACGGCTCTTATCGAAACTATCGTTCAAAAATTAATAACACGTTTATCAATAATGATACGAAGAATTGGGTCGGCAGGTGGCACCGCCAAGTGGATGACAATGGAAACAGTCCCCAGTCTATACCAGGGCCGAGCAGTTTCATCGGGCATTCGGTGACTCGAAGTCATCCGGTAAATCACGATGCCACGATCTCGTAGCCTCGCGTTTCGTAAACACGAGGGAACGTGTTAGTGTTCCGCACGCGTTTCAACGCAGCCTGTGATCGTACAGTGTCATCCGATGTTGGACCACCTGTCCTACGGAAAAAACATGTTGCTATCGTAGGTGACACGCGTCATGCGAACGTAAGCATGCCCGATGCACCGCGATGCAATTGCAACATTAACATTAAGTGCGTTACCATTTTCCATCGTAAGAAGACCACACCGATCCTGTGAGACCGTATCAGTGCCAGAGCAGGTGCACTTCGATTATGTCTATGAAGGTAACTTTTCAAATCAATCCGGGGCGCTCTTGGTGACCACGTTTTCAATCGCATACTCCATATCCGATTATTGGTATAATCCGAATACGTGCTCTCTTGCGATAGAAATCACAGAAAAATATACGATCTAACGTGTTTGAACAGTGAACGCGGTCGAAAGTTCTAAAGTGCACCGTAGAGAAATTACTGGTTCAAAATAGAGCCCGAATGACATTAACCCGTTCACCACCATGCGCTACATGTGCCTCCGCGACCGATCGTGTACACGAATCGGAATCGTGACGCGACAATTTAAAAAAAATAACGTTTCCGTCGAACCGGAACAAGCGTTCGTCGGCTAGCCGATAATGACGCGCGGTAAAATAATTAATGAAAAAACGCCGTCGGCCGAGGTAGATTACGTGGCTTCTCGCGCCTGTGACACGGAGCAAGGTGAGATCAGGAAAATATCGCAGAACTGATGTCATTCGGGCTAATAAATTGTCGAGAACCTTGTCCTGTTGATCTCAACGACGCCCCGTGCCCCCATACGTTCTCGCACATTATTAAATGTTAACCTGTTCGAGTTGCAGACTGTCGACGTAAACCTGAATGCCGCTGTTTGGAAAGGCGGGAAAGATAATATTTGAATCCGAGCCATCCGATAACCGAGATCGTGCACGAATAACGGTCTCTCGTTCGATTAACATATTGCTGATAAATATGTAATAAATACGGATGCCGCATTCGTTGTACTAATTTTTAAAAGAACCGTGGGCGGAGCGAAGAGCGAAGAAGGCGGGGAAACCGCGAGTTCCGTGGAAGGGGAGGTTCCACGGTGACCTTGATCGGCAAATATTCCGCGCACGTAGGGGTCAATACATGACCGATCGTAGATCATAAATGATAATTGAGATCGTACGAGATTCAGTTGTTTTGTCGACGCATCGATCGTCGCGTTGGAGGCGCGACGACCTACAAACACGCGCCGCTGGAACAAAAAGCGGGACATTGCACTCCGGCGACTGGTTTGCAATTTTACGTCGCGAATAAGGAAAGAAAAAGAATATATATATATATAATCCAGTCTCTTGTTTCGCGAATGAAACTTTATCCGCGACTTTTCCGCCGTTGCATTCCAATTTAATGCAATCGTTCAGATGTTAATTAGGGGCTGCTCGCCATGTTTTACGATCGGCTTAAATCGAGGATACGTACGTACGCTTCCGTGGAAACGGAGCGCGGGGGCCCGCTTCGCAAGTCGCGGATTTATATTTGCACTTCACGCGTTTTTCAGGACCACCGTGCACCGCGGCAGTTTCAATTAGTTCCGTCGATAGTTAGTAGCGCGCTCGAAAGGCCGGCCCCCGTGTGCCGCGGATACGAAGAAACTCGCGTGAACGGGTGAAATCGCGAGGCTGGCGCGTAATTTCGCGAAAAAAATTTCAGTTATGGTCGGACGCCTGTAGCGCGCGTCCGTCTTGCTCGATGATGATTGGAATAATCGATACTCGCGCACCGCTGAAAGTGGAAACGGTACAATATTTTTATCGGAAACTGGTCCAGTGACATGCGAGGTCTTTTTCGACGGAGCGCGATCATCGAGAATCCTATCGGGCGGCATTCCGGTAGCAGAAGCGTCGAGGCAGCGTTTAATCGTTATCGTCTCCTCGATCCGACAATTATTATTGTTCAAGTACAAGTTCAAGTTCAAGCTCGTTGTATTTCCTTTTCAGAAAGAATCTCCGTGGGACGTGGAGCTGCACTTGGCCGCAGCCCGCGGCGACGCTAAACGTCTGCGGGTCCTCCTGGACTCGGGACGGGTCCACGTCGACTGCAAGGACAAGGTATCGAATTCTGGAACACTGTGCTTTTCACTGGAACGCTCCGGATCTGCTTCGTCTCGTCTCACGCTTCTCCCTCTTTTCGGCGACTTTCTGATACCCGATGAAAGTTCAAGGTTGGGTACTCGAGTGTCCAAGCGTTTCACGGCTACCCGACATTTATTCGAGCGTCGCGTCGTTCGAATGCCAGGGTAGCTAGCGTGTTAAGCGCTGCCTTTCCCGGCGCCTTGGCAGCCGTTCAAATATCTTATCAGTACCCGGATACGCGTTTCGTCGCACAACCTTCCGCACCGGTGTGCGAAATATCGAATTTTCGGGCAGTTTTCGCCGCTACATAAGTTCGACGTTCGTAGACTCGCGCGCTCGGGCCGACGATCAACGTCTCGATAGCTCGCGATCGTCACGGCTCGTCTCGTTGCGAAAATGTTCTCGGACGGCGAACATCGAAATAGCGATTTTTATCGTTCGAATGCCGCCGCGGCCGCTCGGTCGATCGACCCGCAACCAGGGAAAGAGCATCGTCTTCGCCCGCGCAAACTTTTCTCTCGCACGGGGGGTCCGTGCGACCCGAGGACGACGATTTACGAGGCGCCGATCTTCTCGGGGGTCGATCGACTCGTTACGCGAACCGCCGCGACGCTGACGGAACGGGTAGCTCGGCTAGCGTTGCTCCCGCGCGGGAAAGTGGTCCATTAGATCACCGTGGAAACACGCGTTGCTCCACTTCGACCGGCGTGGACAGCGTACGAAGGTAATTTCGAATTCGATTGACCCGACTGCCGGTTATTTTTAGACCGCGCACGCCTCCTCCCAGCGATTCCTACGGTAATTCGAAAACGATCGGGCGCATTAATCGCGCCGCTAAGTAGCCCGTCTGCCGCGCGCGCCGGCGACAACCCACGGCGCGTCGTTCCGTCGCGGTAATTGCGACCATTCAGGGATCCGCCCAACAATTGCCCTTTGATTACGTGAAAACCGCGGATGCGGCGATGACGTGATTCCGCCAAATTGTCAAAGGGAAGACCGCGACAGCGTTCGCGGCAGAGACGCCGATCCCATTGTCGGACCTCGGACAGATTACGCGACGGATTTACGACGACTAATTGCGCGCTCGACGAGCTCCGCGCGAACCTAGGAGCCGTTTCGATCGACGCGAGACCCGTCCTTTTGGCTCTGTTCGCGAGCCACGGACGATTCGAAGCTCGTAGAACCGATTCCAAGACGCGAAGAACCGGTCCATATTTCTAATCCGTGCTTTTCGGATTCGTTCGAGGATTTTCATTCGTTCGATCCGTCGTGTCGAGAGAACCGCGCGAAGCGAAACAAGGGAGTTGTTCGAAAGGGAGAGACCGTTCGTACAGAAATCCGGGGCCTAGAGTTCGAAGTTTCGCAGTGGGTGACCCGGTGCTCGAGAAGCGTTCCCGTTTTATCAGAGGCCGCGGTGGGAAAAAGGGAAAAATAGAACCGCCCTCTCGGTCTGCCGACGAAAAATCGGGCATCGATTTCAAGCCCGGCTCCCGATGCCTCGGTTCGTTGACCCGTTTATCTTTTCAGGATGGAACGACTCCTTTGATACTGGCCGCCGCCGGAGGGCACATCGAGGCTGTCACCGAATTGCTGCAACAAGGGGCGGATCCTAATGCCAGAAGGCTGGTAAGTCCTGACCGCGCGTACTATACAGTACACGCTATATGCGCACTATGCACGGCCATGAATGGACGCCGGGGAATGAATGAATCTCGCGTTAGCACGCGCGCAGTCGCCCGCGTCCTCGCAACCCCGTTACCCGCTCGTCGGAAACGCTGTTTCGCGAGCCATCGAATGCCGCCGCGGGTCCGTGCATCGGCCAGCATATTTCTCGAATTATCCGCACCGAAACGGTCGCCCGGTTATCTTCGATTATTTAAGCGAGAGATTTCTCGATTTGAAAAAGGGGTTTCGAAGGATGCGCGACCGAAACGATCGAACGTTGAAATCACTTTTACCGTACCGGGGATAAATTGATAAGCCGTTCCTCCGCGTTATCGCGCGGCTCCGATGCTGCGAGGCGACAAAGCCCGCAAGAACGACCGCGATAAATCGTGCAGCGGCTTCGGACTCGGCGAGCGTTACCTTTCACTATCTACCTTGCAACCGAGGCTTCTTGCCTCGTCCGCGTATCTATTAATCTCTCCGAGGCGATTCTTTGCGCCGAAAGACAAGGAAGCATCTGCCCGTGTCGGGGCCAGCAGCCCGCCAATTACGTGTCCCGGTGATGGTTTTTTTTGTTAAATATTCATAGCCGTCGTGCAAACGAAACGACGTTTCACATCCGCGTTACCGCGCGGAGAAAACGAACGGCTGATAACGTTCTATAATTATCGGGGACGATCTCCGTCGCGAGATATCGCGGACAGATAGGCCGGACCTCGGCGATCGACGCCGTCCGATCGCGATTCCGCGAGAAGGGCGCGGCTTTTCGCGGCTTCTTTCGCGATCGGGAACGCCGCGTCCGCTTTTAGCCGGTTACGAAGGTGGGTCGGAAAAAGGTTGGGCGGTGTCGAGCGCACCAGGAAGCGGTCCGAGCAGTGGTACCTTTTTAAGTGGCCCCCGTCGGGGATTTATCGCCGAGCCCGGGCGTCTTCTCGGTGTCCCGTGGCATCGAGAGCCCACCGTATTGTATGCAAATCCGTGTACGCGATGTCTGCCGACGATTTTCTGGCGACATCCGGCCGAGACTTCCATTAAGAGCCGCGGGATTCGTTAATTGAGTCGTCGGTCCCATTGGAATCACCCGGCCCACGGGTTTCCTTTCTCCTTGCTCTTTGTCTCCGAACTACAGTAATGTCTCTCTAATTGACGCTCGAATGGCCCACAGAAATGGACAATTTGGGAACAGGAGATACGCTTGTTCGAGCCTTGCGGTTTATTCTTACAGTTATAAATTGTCCAGAATTATAAAAACGAGCTGGAATAATCGTATCTCCTCTTCCCAAATTGTCCATGTTGGGATTATGGAATGAAAATGAATATGATTCTAATTCTTTTCTTAAAAAGACTTTATTTTATTCCTTTATCGAGAGAAGGTATATGGGCGAAGACGATCGAGCGACCAAACTCTACTGAGAGTCCGGTAAGAAAAAAGCGCTTTTTTTATACCCTTCTTGGGTTCGTCTTATCCACCAATCAGAGACGTTTAGGATCCCCAAACAGTCAGGGCACGATGCGTATCTAATGGTACCGGTGATGATGTATCGCGGTATCTATTATATACAGTTTACATCACCGTCGTTGCCCGCTGACGGAACCGACGAAAAAATGTAAACCGATATCTTAGTATCTTAGTACTAAGTAAACTATAGATTAATTTTTGTTCGAGGCTAAAATTTCAACAGTCCATTTTAGTGGACAATCCGAGCGCGTCGGTAAGAGAGACATTACCGCACAATAATGTCTCTCTAATTGACGCTCGGATGGTCCAAAGAAATGGACAATTTGGGAACAGAAGATACGCTTGTTCGAGCCTTGCGGTTTATTTTTATAGTTATAAATTGTCCACGATTATAAAAACGAACCGCGAGGCTCGAATAATCGTGTCTTCCCAAATTGTCCATTTTGGTGGACAATCTGAGCGTGAGTAAGGGAGACATTACCGCACAATAATGTGTCTCTAATTAACGCTCGGATGGTCCAAAGAAATGGACAATTTGGGAACAGGAGATACGCTTGTTCGAGCCTTGCTGCTCGTTTTTAGAGTTACGAAGTGTCAACAACTGTAAAAAACGAGCTACAAGGCTCGAATAATAATCGTATCTCTTATTCCCAAATTGTCCATTTTTCTGCACAATCTCAGCGCCAACTAGGGTACTCCTTATTACTGTACTCCGCGTTGCCAGGCCCTTCCGAACGACATCGCAACGGCGACATTTTCTCTTCGCGTGCGAAACTTCGTAATTTCGTCTTCGCGATGCACGAGCTCTCGCTCTTCGATCCTCGAAGTCTCCGCCGCTGATGTCGTTAAACTCGAATTCGGGGAACGAAGCGCGCATACCGGAAACGCGCGTTCCTAGAAAGAATTCGTTTCTAGCGTACAACGTAAGAAGGCGCGTCAGACGAAATTCCGGACGATTATTCAGCGGCTCTTATTCTTCTCCGTTTGTTATTTTTAGCGGCCGAGTATGCAAACGAGTCGAAAGCCTAGCAACCACCGTGAAAGAGCGAGGTTTCTTTCCGGTTCCCGGGATCGAATCGAAGCGATGACGCCCGACAAGAGCGCGAATTACGCAAACGACACGGGTTCGGAATCGACGCGACTCGGCGCGACTCGGCGCGGCGCGGCGCGACGCGACGCGGCGACTCGTTACACAATCGCAACGGCACGAGTTTCAGAATTATTTTTATTAGTCCCGATACACCGTCTCTCTCCGGCGGGCCGCGATACTTTCGCAGTTCTATCTTAATGAATTGTCGAGAGGAGAGGCTCGACCGCCGGGCCGGCCGCGGCGCGGCGGATAAAAAGAGGGTCGAGAGTCGAGAGGCCGAGATGAAAAGCAGTCGAGATGGAAACGGTGGACCGTAAAGCCGCGATTAAACGACGGAACGTTCCTTTTGTGTCTGTCGTTGGCTGATCACGGTTCGATCATCCGCACAGATAGCCGAGCTTCTATCTCGCGACGAGAGATTAGCGAATGATAAAAGCGCGGTCCTTGAAATTTCTGGGAACCCGCGGTATTTCACGTTTATTTTTAGAAACTCTTTGCGCTCTGTTTCCACGATCGTACGATTCATCGCGATACGTTCGCAGAACTATCGGAATCGCAATCGGAATCGAATTCGGCGAATCGAGGCGCGCGAGCCTCGAGGTGAAAACAACCGGTTAATTGGTAATAAAATCGCGGCGCTCGAACGAGAGGCGATCGAAGCGTTTTGGCAGCCAGGTTTCTCGGCCTCGAGATGCGCTAAAGTCGCGGGCGTGGACTAATTGCGAACGAGTCACGCTTGTTAATTAGCCGCCGGCGGGTTCGGAGTTTCTAAAACGCGCGCGGCCTAGATACGATGATTTTTCCGTACAGGGTGCTCCGTAACGTCTAGAGCGCATTTCGAAAATAAATTTCACAGTCGCGTTCAATTAGAACCTTCCGTTTCTGTCTGTTAATTTTTTTTTCGAATGTCTCCGAAGCGTACTGCGCGCGCGCGAACAAATTCTTACGCTCTTTGCTCGTACAGAAGCTCCGACAACTCCGTAACGAGGTTTAAACGGCGCTTCTTCACGGTAACGTACAAATCGATTTAGCATAATTCGATATAAAAATCGAACCGAGCCGAGACAGAGTTTGTTAGCCCTGCGGCGCGCGCGCGAATGCGATATACATATGCATCGCCCGTTTTTCTTCTTAATGCCGCGGCATTATAAATTGTAATGATATAACTGCGCGCGCGGTTTTGTACACGAATCGCTCGCCCGTACGAAATATAAACTGTACGAATGGAGCATTATTTTCTGACCCAGCGAGTCTGCTCGGTTCACGATGCGACGCGGTACGTGATTTCAAACTCGATAGTTCGTTAAAAAACCGCGGATTCGACGGCGCGTTCGTAACTAAAAACCGCCGAGAAATCGACGACGTCGTTGCAGAAAAAGCAGAATTCTCGTCCTAATCCGCGACAGTTCCGTTCACCCTGTAGCGGGGACCACGCGCGATGGCGCATCCTGTAGCCTCGGTGCAACGCGTGGTCTCTGCATTTCAAGGTCGCCGAAGCGGAGCAAATCGGGTTGCGTCGCGTTCGCGTGTTCGCAACGCGTTTCAGCGGCGGCACGTCTGCCGTAATATGCAACCACCGCGGTGCACCAGCGTGTGCAACAACTCGCGCGAATCCGCGGACGACCGCCTGCGAAACTCGGCGCCGCGCGTCGCGAGCCGCGAGCCGCGAGCCGCGCCGCGATCCGTCCGCAACACTCTCGGCACCGCGAGCAGTCCGGTATCAGTTCGAAAATCGTGCGTGGGCGTTCGTGACACACTGATCTCGCCAGCGCTTGTTTGGCCTCGTTCGAGGAACGGACTTTCGACCAGTTGGATCGCACTTTTTGGTCGTTCCCGCGGCGTATCGAATTTCGCGGATTTCTATTCGAGTACCTTTTGTTCGTGACTCGGGTCGATCGCGGGAGCCCCGTGTTTCGTTTCGGCGAACGCCGAACCGCCGAACTGAAATTGCCGCCTCCGATTGTTTTCGCCCGCTCTCCTCTCTGCTTTCTTAGAACTGTCGGCGGTGAAATATGTACGGAATCGATCGCTGTTGTTCGCCGGTAACGCGGACGGTGTTCGTCCATCCGAGCTAAAATGTTAATCCTCGGATTGCAGATCCGATCGATTAAATTTAAAAATGGGGGGAAGGGAAAGCTCGAAAATTGTCGCCCCTTTCTATTCGCTTCAAATTCTTAATAAGATTTAAATTATTTTTTATTTCTCGTCCGTGAATACGCGATGGATGCACCGTGACGACGAATCGTTGATACGTTCGACGAACGCCGAACAACTTGCAAACTTGCAGTTTCGCCGGATCGGTGAAACGTTCTCCGCTTTCGTGGCGGAACGATAGAAAAGTGGGCGGTCCGTTCTCCAATTCGGTAGACGAGAGGTCGGAACGATTTTCCAAACTTCGCTGGCCGTTTCTAGCGATTTCGAATAGGCGACGCGCGGGTGGCACGCGAGCGTGTTTTACCTTGTTAAAATAGCATGCGCTGGAAAGCGGATTGCGGCAGGAAGTAACAAGTTCATTATAAATCGACGATGCCCGCCTCCCATCGGAGCATCCTCTCCGCTGAACGATGAGAATTAATTGGCGCGCGCGTACGGTGCGTCCAGCTCGAATAGAATGTAGAACAACCCGCGCGTTTAGCCGAGCCGATAGCCGATCTACCGTTCTCGCCGAGTTGTCAATTGCGCGTCGTTTTCGTCGATAACCTGAGGGCCATCTTTAATTTACAATGTAACACTACCGATAAATTCGAGCGTTTTCTCTCGACCGCGATTACAGTAATGTCTCTCTAATCGACGCTCAGATTGTCCACGAAAATGGACAATTTAGGATGGAGAAGATACGATTATTCGGTCCTTGCGGTTCATTTTCACAGTTACGAGTTGTCTCTGCGGTGTCCAAAGCGCCCTAATCGTAGGTTTATACAGTAATGTCTCTCTAATCGACGCCCAGATTGACCACAAAAATGGACAATTTGGGAAGAGGAGATACGATTATTCGAGCCTTGCGGTTTATTTTTACAGTTATAAATTGTCCACAATTATAAAAACGAGCCGCAAGGCTCGAACAATCGTATCTCCTCTTCCCAAATTGTCCATTTTCGTGCACAATCCGAGCGCCAGTTAGGAAGACGTTACTGTACTCCGTCGCTTTACCGCAACTCCGTGTTCGATGCAGAAGAAATAAGCGTCGCATTTCCGATTCCTCGAGGGGGCAGGAGGGGGGGATTTAATTACGCGATAAATTCGTGCGCCCCGGTGTTCGCGCGGCGGCAGTAAAACAGCGCGACGAATTTTACGGTGTGTCGGCGTCGTAGAATTTTTAGCGTCTCACCGTGGATCCGATTGTCAGCAAATTGTTTCATCGATTCCAGACCGGCACCACGGCGCTGTTCTTCGCCGCCCAGGGTGGCTACATGGACATCGCCGGACTTTTATTGGAGCACGGCGCCGCGGTGGACTCGTGCAGCATAGTAAGTTTCAGCGAGATTAAAAAACCAAAAATGAACGGCGAACCGTGAAATAGGAAACTAGACAGACGGTTTCTGGCGCGATTGCAGGACGGCGGCACCCCACTTTTCGTCGCGTGCCAGTGCGGTCACCTGGACGTGGTGGAGGGTCTGATCGAAAGAGGCGCCAATCCGAACGCTCACATGAAGGTAACTTCTTATCTCTCGAACGTTTTTGCCCTTTTCGCGCCGTTCGTTTCCCGGTTGCCGAGTCGAAGTCGGCTGAAACTATTAGCGTGGAACGGCGAGAATCCGGGCCGGGAAAATGCCTGAAATTCGAACGGGCGTTCGAAGTCAGACGCGGATCTATTCTATTCAGATCTATATATTCTATTCAGAATCTAGACGCGCGATTATTGGAAAGGCGGACGCATTTAAAATAGATCGCGCGACGCGACGTCGCGGAAAACCAGTCGCGCGTATACATATTGGTGCATATACGATACCAGTTCTCGAAAAGAATGGTCCGTCTCGTTCGCGACCATCGGCTCGCGGAAATATTAACGTCCGATTCCAAAAGCGCGGCCGCGATAATCGGTCGAAAACTCGAAGCGGGACGGCCGCTCGAAATACCGGCCGCGTGTAACCCTCCCCGAACAATTAGCGGCGCACAATCGGCATTTAAATGTCGCGTTCCCGACGAGTTCCGCGTACACGCGAGCCTCGGGAATCCGCGCGGCCCATGAATTTCACATTTTATTGCGCGTCCACGTTACACATACACCTTTCGAATTTGTTCCACGTTGTCGCAAGTGTGCCGCGGCACGGTCGCCAGTGCCGTCACGCCGGTACTCTCGCAGGTGATTGACAAAGAGACCAAACACGCTGCCGCATTGTCACGCTCTTTCTATTCTAATGCCGCGGACGTGTCCTTCTATTCTAATACCGGGACATCTCTCGAAGAATGGGATCGTTTACTTTGTGCCTGTGGAAAACTTGCGGCATTGTTCGATCCGCGCTATTCTAGCAACGTTCTCGTCGATCCCAATCGAATGTCATCGTATCGTAGACCCGTGCAACATGTTTTCAAGAGGGACATAATCGAACCGACAATAGGCGTACGGAATGCTTCGATCTACAGCATCTACAACGTCTACTTTTTTGTTACAAGCGGAATCAACCCTTAACATCTACGGATCTTCGTTCGGTGTACGGTAAATTCTCCCTAATTTGTGCACAAGAATGGACAACTTGGGAAGAGGAGATCGACGGCAACTATAAAAACCAACTCGAAAGGCACGAATAAGCGCATCTCCTCTTCCCAAATTGTCCATTTTTGCGCGCAATCCGAGCGTCGATCGAGGAGAACTCGCTGCATGAATTTTTGAACCTGAGCAGATAATCGCTTGACCCACATCGCGGTAACGTGTAAAGCGATCTGAGGCATGTTCAAACGATGTTCTACAATCCCGGGCGATCGTCGACGACGATCGACGTGTTCGATCGCTTCGGCCGAAGAAAAATCGTGCGACCGCGACGCGACGCGACTTTTGTCGCGGCTAGATGGACAGGTTGATCGCCGTTATAGAATTTCTGCGGTTTGTAATGGATAGGTATTATGTCTCCTGGTCGGACACGGTTCGGGGAACACCGGGACTCCGTGGAACGCGTACACCCGCTGCAGGATGTTACCAATCTCTGGCTGGCCAGAAGGAAACGCGTCCAATAAAGGCCAGGCGCACCGGGACCGATGGTTTTTCGTCGAACCTCCGAGTCAATAACGGCCAGTGAAAGTGCGGGTTCCTGGCGACCGGGTCCAGTTCGAGTCGCCCTGGACTCGCTACTCCTTTCAGGGATATTCGAGACACGCGCCAGCACTTTCTCTCCTTTGCCGTTGACTTAGCCGCACTTGGAAGCTCCGCCGTTCCGAGATTTTCCGTCGATTATTCCACGCCAGCCACGAAGCTTTTGAAAATTGTCAGGCTCCGCGTCTTGGCCGTGAAATGTTCTCCGAGACAGAGATCTTGCCGTCGACGGTGTCGTAAATGATAAGTTGCTGCTGGATAAGAGAAACATTATAGAGTTTTTATTTCACATAGAGGTCACAGTGTTGCGTCGATGAACTTACGGCATACCTTAGACTCCGAAGCTAAATTCCCGTGCGGCGTAACCGGTCCATAGAAATCGAGCAGGCCTTTTTAAGCACAGAGTTTGTTCGATTTTCCAGGATGGAGCTACGGCCCTCTTCATCGCAGCCCAGAACGGCCACGTGCGTATCCTAGAGGTTCTTCTGGAGCACGGGGCGAAGACGGACGCCGCTCGAACCGATGGTGCCACGCCTTTATGGATAGGAGCGCAAATGGGGCACGATCACGTCGTGAGAAGGCTTCTGAAAGCTGGCGCGAAGGTCGATGCCACCAGACACGTAAGTCTTGGGAATGATCAGGGATCGGGCAGGAATCTGGATTCCGTTATCGGGAAAACGGTCGTCGAGAAGTCTCTCTCGCTTTCTGGACAGAGCAGTGTTAATTGCAGTTTCTTTTCTAGGATGGAGCAACCCCGCTGTTTAAGGCGGCTCATAAGGGACACACTGCCGTGGTCGGGGAACTCCTCAAGTACCGTCCGTCCCTCGGGATTCTTCCAGTAAGTTCCAAAATAGGCTCGAAACGATTTCCTTGTGTAAGAAATATCTATAAACGAGCGGGCACTTCTGAAGTGGTGAAGTCTTAACATCTGCGCCGTCTCAATCACTAAACAACCACTTCGGACACGGAGTGTAGGTTCTAGGATCTATAAAAAAAATGTTAGAGCTTATAAAAATAGGAACCAAGAAAAAAGAGGAGAGATAAGTTAGAGGTTGCATTTGCAAACCTCTGTTGCGCCTTGAGGTATGCAACCGGATGGGCTTTAGTGCTTACAAATCTCGTACAAATTTCACCCCTTCTCCTAAGGGGTAGAAGTACCTGCTAAGTGCTTATCAATAGACTGTTTAATCTGGAAGAAGCTTGATAATTTTGTCTTAAGTACAATATACAAAGATTTTGTGGACACCCTGTATACCCTGTAGATTTACCGAGCTATGCTGTAGCTTAGCTGCCCATAAAGTAGTAAACAATTTCAGTTATGCAACAGCCTGTTATGTTCTAGAACGGTGAAAGCGCGCTTCACGCAGCAGCCTTAACAGGACAAATGACAGTGGCGAGGCAACTCGTGGGAGCAGGCGCGGACCCTCTGCTTGTCAACCAGGAGGGTGTCACACCTCTTCAGTTGGCAGTTAGGCACTCGCAGACTCAAGTCGCGAATTATCTGAAGGATAAAGTTAGGACACGAACCGGGACGTCTTAGCAATTCGGTTATCCGTCCAGTAACGTAGAAGTTAATGCAGAAAAGTAACAGTGGAGAATGTATAGGCCAGCGGAGGAGAGATCAGTATTTCTAAAGAGAATGTAATATATATATGTATATATATATTTGCATATATATATATGTTACATGTTGAATGTACTAAATTCAATGATTTATAAATAGAATGAAACAAGTGCAATCTTATTATATTTCGTAACGTTACAGAATTGAAGCGTAAATGAGACGTTGGTCTTTCTATCACACTGCACGGAAGTGTGGTCAGATGCTCTATCTTTGTCTTAACTTTTAGCTGGTTTAGTAGCATTACAGTGACCTGGTTTGTCACTTGCATCCTCGGCAGAACTTTTAAAACCTCGTTCACGATATAAAATATTTCTATTAACTTGACAGTAGGGCCACGGTAACGTTATGTTATATTATTCCTGTTATACCAGCTGAGAGTTAATACTGTTAGCTACTTATTCGGTGTATATACAGTTAGAAATATACAAAATACCATTCTGTAGTGTAAAATATATCCTAAACGTATTCTCTTGTTGTATATATTCTTACATGAACTTTGGAAATATTAACTCTTTCGATGTACCGTGTTACGCACCGGGATCATTTTTACAGTAGAATTTATATATACATATATACATGTATATATATATATATATATATTGAATATCTACATATACATATATTTTATTAGCAACAAACCGGTTGTTACAGAAAGATCCTAAACGTACGTGGATTTTACGCAATTGTTTCTGTTCTAATTAAGAATTATATAAGACTGATTGATTTGCCTTGGGGTATACAAAATTGACGAATTTTATAGTTGAACGTCTATTTCTTCCTGTTGATTTATATATATAATAGTATATGTTATTGTTAACGCACATGTGAAATGTAAAGAAATAACCGTAAGCAAGTGTTTAGTTCTTAAACCGTAATGTATAAGATATTTAATCGTTTTATTTGAATGTAACATTAATGAGATATTTTATAACTGTTTGTTTGGTGTTAATTTACGATGTGTATAATAAATATCTTTACTGTTTTCCCAAAATATGTTCTCATATATGAAACGCGTATCGACTCGCTAATTCGTAAAAAATTTTTTTCTTTTTTACATTCTAGTAAATTATACACGGCACGAAACACATGGTAACGTATAATTCTATTATATTTGATTTATACATAAATATCGAACAGTTTCGCTTTGTGTGATATCACAGAATGGGTCAAATTTTGGTTGGACTTCATGCTTTATGCGTATTAAGCTGCGCGTTTATTACGAAATTGTAATTAAACGAAACAATTTCTGCCTGAACGTATCCTCCACTTTACAAGCGCGGCATACTTATTGCAATAAATATTACATGTCATTACATAAGAACACAAAAATAATCTTTAAAATGTCTTGTTTTTGTTTTTTCAACCGGAAAGCTTCTATATTCCTCGTCGATTTATAACATCACGGTCATTCAGTTGCGAGCAACGTCGGTTCTCCGTCTTAATTTACACATACCTATATACACGATGCACATGCTAATGTTTTTACAAAAAGTAACAGTCATGTCATACTGTAAAAACATTCGAACAAAAAGAAAAGGAGTCATCGGTGCCTTCAACGAAAGAAAAAAATGTACTACCGGTGGTAACGAGAAGAAAGGCTGAGAGAACAAGTCAAAGGTGTATAATTCATGGTAAACTCGTCCTTGTACCCCAGCTGCTAAGTGCCTATTTCCTATTTCCATTTGCAGATGCAAAGCTTCTTCTGGTTGAAGTAATACGGTTTAGCTGAGAAGTGTGTCAAACGGTTCTTCTGCTCCTCACCAATTGAACGGTATCAATTAGAAGTTTACAATGCCAACGCCGCGACGAATTTTATCAATTATCGCTTCTGCACTGATAAGGTAGATAACAGAATACATACTTCGTGAACCAGATTCAAAGAACGATCAGTGACTGACGCTGATTCCTAAGGAATGCCATCATGGTTCGTGATCGAATGCCAGAACTACGTGCAGTTAGTATTCTGTTCTTTTGAAAACACGAGAGAGTATCGGTTATCTGTAACACCTGTGACATTAATTTTAACAAAAGTACATGTCAGAAAATCGTTCGAAATGCACCAGCCGTAAGGCCACCTCTAAATTATATTTGCTTTAGCAAAATTCTAACTACTTGCATGAATTAAAAAGCATAAACTCTTTATATAATATAACTAAAACAATAAGAAAACATCACTTAAATAACAAACGGTAACTTTTAACATATTACAGTGACTTCCCAACTTTATCTGCTTCCCCTTGTTATCTTCTTAATATATTTCTTCACGTTTTAGAGCAAACAAAGTTATTTGCCCCACACGAATAGACTGTAGTTTCTGAAAGAAATAAGCATGGAATATCCTTTCAAGATGTATTAATAATAGTTTGTTGCTTAAGTGATATCTTTCACAAATGAATATTTAGTAGAGAGATTTGGATAGAGACCTATCCTGTATGAAGTCTAGTTAATTACTGCCACTGGATCAACTGAGAAATATAACATAAAATATCTTTTCCCGTTTCCGAACACTGTTCCGATCGTTTAATTAATTAATAACAAAAGCAGACGTACTGTGTAACATATTTTTTTTACTTTCCTTTAGTGTCAAACTAATAGCACTTCATTTGGTAAACGATTTATACAAGATGTACACATCCAAATATCCCAAAATAGGAAACTCAAGGAAGTTTTGGATGAAGTACGTATACACATAGGTATACTCATATTAATTAAGTCACCGTAAAAATATCACAGACTCTTATATTGGCAGTAGTTATATAAATGATATTAATACAGGTCGATGAAATTCGTGGACTGATTCGGCTAATAAGTGAGAACACGATTATTGTAAAGGATTTGTACAATAACGTGTTGTCACACACGAATAAAGGTAAGAAACAAATACCAAATGTTGTGCCTTTCTGTTAGCTAATTGTTTGCGTATTTCAGATATACAAAAAGAACTGGAAGTTCGAACGTACAGCATATCGCAAACATCGTTTCGTATACAACAAAAGCTAAAAGGTAGGTAACCCCATTTTTCTTCTTTGTTTACCTATAAATTGCAACGTAAATAAAAGTAAATAAGTAAAAGCTATTTGTTTTATATATCCTAATCAGACTCACTGTCATCTTGAAATTGAGAAATATTTGTTTCTGTCAGTTTACGTTTTATGTTTATCTTTCTAGCTTTCGAAACGTTGTCGATCGAGTTGTTCAATTCGTACTCTAATTCGTACTCTTTCGATTTTTGTGTACTGGTGCTAGGACCAGGCTCTGAGGGTGAACGTGGTCGTACAGTTAGTACTGTTGAAATCGGATTCCATTCGACAGAATGATTTCCCGAAAGCAGAGAATTGTTGGTTGGTGAATTATTCAGACTTAAAAGTTGAGAAATTGGGACACGTTCCAACAAAACTACAGGGCTCAAATTACAAGCCCTTACATCTGATATCTTGGTAGACGAAATCTGGTTTGCTGTGTCAGACGGAGAATTTCCTTCTTCACAGGAGTTCTCATCTTCGGAAACAATTTCTCCCACTTGTCTGGAACAAAACATAATTAATAAGGATCAATAATATTCACATTATCAGGTATTTATATACGAACCTCTTTAACCTGTCCAATTCTTTCTCTAAGTTTGGATATTCGTTGAATAAATTAGACAATTGGTCCTTGTTATATTCTGAATAAGTTTTGACCAGAAGCCTCTTCACTTCATTCTCCACCGGAGATTTTGAAAAAGATAACTTTTTCCTTAGTTTTATTAATATAGGCAACAGAACTTCTAAACCATGTTTCTTCATTCCTTCGATGATAATAGTTATTGCACTGCTGGCAGGTGTGATTTGTTGAATCGCAGAATCTTCATTTTCTGGTTGATCATCGTCAGTTTGTTTGTTCAGGGACGACGGTCTTAACCGCTCATTGCTAATAACATATAATGCATCTTTCAAAACATACATTCCTTCCTCTTTCTTAACGTCGATTGAATCGGCGCAAGCTCCGCCAAGTATCTGACTAGTTATTTTTACAAGTAACTTTATCTTTCCTGGAGGATCCAAGTGATCCAGCATAAAGTCATATATCGTTCTTCGTTTCTCTTCGTTCCTTTTTCCAGGTAGCGTTAATGCTTTTCTCTCTTTCTCGCGCATTCTTTGATCATAAATTTTGAGATGTGATTGATAATTATTATAATGATATATGCTTTGTAAAAATTGTTGCGATATCAAAGTTTTATTTTTTATCAGAAGCCTTTCTTCTATAAGAAAAGTCGTCAACTCGCGTATCATATTGTCCGAGTCCGACAACATGGTCAATATGTGAAAGAAGAATGGGCCCTTAATTTTGATGTAGTCTTCAAGAAGAAGTTGGATGAATATTACCATGATAGCTTCCCTGACTTGTGGACTTGAGTCCTTCATGCTGACACACATATCTGATAAATACGGTTCAACTAGTGCGGTGAACCTAACGCAAATATCAGCCAAAGCCTTTGCGGTATTTATTTTTACAGCGATTTGAAAAACCGAACTCAAGTTTGTCTCTTGTCTCATTAGTTTGCCGAATATTGGAACCATTTCTTTTGCAATCTCCCGATCCCTCATCGCTTGCTGGCCAAGAATGACGACTGCCGACGCTTGTAATTCTTTTATCTCCTTTATAGCTTCTGGAAGTGATTCCCATTCTAGCAATATTCCTTGCAAAATTCGTAACGTTAACGGTGATATTTTATGAGTACATAAAAGAGTAGCGTACCCCAAAGTGAACATAGCTTTTAAATAATATGGTGCTGCTTCTAAAGCTTGGTCCTCGTTCTTAAAGATTTTTGTGATTTCTGCCTCCGACAATTTGATTAAATTCAGCACATTAAAATCTAGCAAACTAGTTCCTGTATCAGGATTCAGAAACTGTATTATATTGTGTATAATATCCAATGAAATGCTGATTAAACCAAAATTGATTTTGAACTGCTCTAGACATTGGTACAAGTAAACGTGAAGACCTTCCAAAATTTCGTTATCCAAGGACTTCCAAGAGTGCTTCAAAACCTGCAGAACCAAGCTGGTATAAAAATTATCCTCTTCAAAGATTTCCTTGTAGTTTGAAATATATTTGTTCATATTTGGTAGCTGAGTATTTTCAGCTAATGCAGCTAGCAAAATCCAAGCTCCTATGTTATTGGTCGTCCCAATATGTGACTGTATGCTCTTTATTACAGAAGTAGTGATAGTACCATTCTTCACCCACAAGTTACAAGCTTTTGACAAATGTCGCCGCATTTTCACATTAGTTATTGTATTCAAAATTTTCCATGGTAAATTGTCAGCTATATTGTTAGTATTTTTAGAAGAAAATACTATTCTGTTTAGCAATAACTCATGTAAGTAATCTAGCACCTTTTCCTGTACTTTGATCTCAACATCGAATATCTGTGGTATAACAGTTTGTACCCATTCATCTAAAAGTTGTGAATTGTCTGAGAACCTTTCCAAAAGCTGAGATAATACTTGTACAGCATATCGACGCACAGTTAGCGTTGGGTCTCTACAACGGCGGCTAATTACAGGTACCGTTTCGTTCATCAAACTGGGAGACATTAAGACCAAATTCTTAAAAATTTGTAATGTGCTTCTTCTGATTGCTGCTCTCTCATCCTCAATTCGTTCTATTAGCATGGATAACAAAACATTAGAGCCTGGTAATAGATCAGTGTCTTCGGATAAAGCATCTTTTATATCTTGGAATGTGAGGAACATTTTATCAGGTTCAGAGTTTTCGAAAATTATTTTAAATATTTCCTTATCCGTCTCATGACTGAATTCTGTGAATTCTGCAATTATTGCCATAGCTTTTCCTCTCACCATACTTGAACAATCCATGCATCTACTTAATACAACAGCAACAAAGACTCTTTTAACTTTAGCTTTCAGACTAACAGTCATACTACAATCAACCAAAAAAGATTCTATCAATAATTTGCCAATTATTTCTTGAGCAAATATTCTCAGAGGTATTTTATTATGATGCGTTAGTAATATTACATTTCTAAAGGCTTCAATTATGATGTTTTGCTTACATATTCCAAAGAGCTTTATTAGTACACCAGCTTGCTTTTGACGTGCTTCAAGTCTATCTGGACAGTTCAGCATCAAATGTTGTATTAATGTAATAATTGCAACTGTTGCTTCTTTATCGTGTTCATTTGATAAAACTTTTAAAAAATTTATAGTACACTCACGTACATTCATTATAAACTTTGATTGCAAGTCCATGGGACTACACAACAAACGAGGTAATATATACTTAGCTATGATTGTTATAGTAACCTTAACAGGTCCATGTTTACTATCGCACAGTTCTTGCAATGCTGCATATGAATTCTTTATCAATAATACTTCCACTGTACCATTCTGCCTGTTGTAACAAGAAGGATCTGTGCAATCATTTTCTACCTTTGTAACTTCTAGTAAACCACTAACAGTGTCATCTAATGACTGTACATGGTCTTTAAACCAAAATGTTTTTATCATTGTAATCAGACTACAAACAATAACATTTAAATTTTTTGTCAATGTTTCCTTTTCATTAGGTGAAAGAGCAATATTATCATTTCTCATCTCATCTGTTATATTAAAATCATCTAAATTCACTGCTTTGGAACGTTTCTTAACAAGCGGCTGCAATTGACCAGAATTTATTTTAATGGTTTCAATAGCACGTTGATATAAGTTCGGATGAAACACATTGAAAGCGCTACTACCAGGAATAGCCAAAAGTATAAAATATAAATTAGTTGCATAAAGACAAGATTGTCTAGAATCATCATCAGCTTCTTTACCTTGTCCGCTCTTCATTATGTAACCCAATATTGCTAGCAAAGCACGTACTTTTATATCCATTATGATCAATGTATTCCAGGAGATCTCTGAACATCGTTCAGGATTGTTCTGGTCTTTGCCTGTGGTTAACCAATCTTTCACAATGGTGCAAGTCTCGTGCAAAAGCAGTCTCATATCCTCACTTTCTATGAACATTAGATACTCATCAGGTGGTTCATTATAAATCATAAATTCTGTATCCCAAACAGATTGAATCCAGTCTTCGTTGAGATCACTGAATTTAAATTCGTCAAATATTTTTAAAGATTCCATGGTAACAACTGTGCCCGATTTAAATCATTTTAAAACGAAAGATACAATTATTATCAATTTGGTTCAAATATATCTTGTAAATGTAAACATAACCTTAACTTATCATTCGATAAAGGGAAAACTGGCCTCAGGTTATCATTTTCTGGATACGTATCGATAATGATTTTATAATTCCGTTATGGTATTTATGAACAGAAAACTTTGTCGGATATTTATCACGGGACATCTCGCTGAAAATACGAAACAAGTCCTACAAAGGACTCTGGCGTCCGTTCAGAAGCGGGAAAATCACTGACCAATTAGATTCGCTGCAATATGCAATCTACACTCTGTAAACAAATGTGCATTTCTGATTACATGTGTTTGCAAGCACATGCTAATAACAAACACATGAACAATTTATCGATTATCCTAAGCAATTAATGTTCCAATGAATTACACATATTCGCAAAAAAGTGCATAATCAAAGGTACACCAAAGTAAACCAAAGTACACTAAACATTTCAATAAAGTTGCTTACATTTTAGGCGGGAAAAATCATTCGATGCGATGGTTCGGGTCACGTGAGATCAAGGAAAGTGAATTGTGTAAAGATATAAAGAATAAATGCTGTTCTATTTTAGACAGGAAATGTTAATTCTGAACTATGTACATATTACAAAACTATGTTAAAATTACATGTAGAGTATCCTAATATTTATAGTACAATCAGGAAAAATGTGATTCTCCGAAAAAATAAGTTCAAAATATAAAATAAAATGTTCTTACATGACTTTCCTTTGAGAGAAAAAAAGAAACATTTGAGAAAAATAAAAAAAGAAAAAATAAATATATTCTTTAATACCTTTTTATAGAGATGGGAAAAGAAATTGCTCCTCTCGATGATTTAAATTTGGCAAGTATAATTGATGGACCCGCGCATTTACGAATTAAAGCATTGCAGTATACAACGATGATAAAACTTTTCTCAGATATTATGGAAGAATATAACATGTGCATGTTGAGATACCATGAAAAATGCCGTTTACTGTTACAACAACAAAAATTATTAAGTACGTATCTTTCGAAACGTTTTGAATTATTTTCCCTTAAAAATACTTACGCCACCCTGTTCTAATTTTTAGTCAGAAAGCAAATTACAAGCGAGGAACTGGATGCTTTACTTGAATCTCAAGATAATAATGTGTTTGTTGATAATGTAAGTATCACTATTATCTCCTAATTATAAATAAACGGGTGTAATCTGTTTTGACTGATAGATTTTAGAAGATACCAGAACTACTAAGCAACAATTAGCAGACATACAAAGTAGACATAATGACATAGTAAAGTTGGAAAAGGCTATTACGGAAGTTAGAGACATGTTTACTGAAATGGCATTTCTGGTTGAAAAACAGGTAAGTGTACAATGTAGATGATTGAATGAATCTTGAGCGAATATAAATCTAAATATTACTTTATAGAGCGAACAATTGAATAGTGTGGAATATTTTGCTGGAAAAACTGCAAATAATATTGACATTGGTCGTACAGACCTCAAAAAAGCCGAAAAGCGCAGTCACAGGCATCGCAAGGTATTGATATTAGAAGTCAAAAGATATTATAGTTAACAATAATTATATATATATATATATAATTGAAAATGAACTGTTTTTCTTTCAGACGAAGCTTAAAATTTGTCTCATCATCAGTATAATAATTATCATTTTGTTACTGATATTTATTTTTTTGTAAATAGTATAAAAGTAAAAATTACAGCCGTTGCAATATCGTCAGAAGAATAAAAGATATCTGTACACAAACGTTAATCTGTTTATCATAGTAATGTAATACTTATAATAACTGCAACATGTTGCCTTTCACACATGATGCTCATCATGCATTGCCTTTGTATATGTAATTTTCGAAGTACCTAACAAGACCTATTGCACTAGGTCTAACTTTATAATCCAGGGCAGTGCAAGCAAAAAATAGTTCAAGAATCTTATCATATTCTTTTCCAAGTTGAATAGCAGGTAATGGAGGACGTGTACCTGTGATCATAAATACATCTTATGTGATGTATTAACTTTTTAAAAAATGTCTTTAAATACAGGGTGTTCTATTTGAACCTAATTATCTTCTAAATCATAAATTATTAAATAAAATATTTCTACATTTATTTGCAAGATCAATGAATATAGAACTTTTCTAACGGATCACCCTGTATATACGTACACATTACTATACAAAGACCTACCATATTTACACTTTATGATTTCTTCAAGAAAGACAATACTGTCATCCATATCTCCACTAGGTTTTGTAGCCTTTGCACTATTTTCCATGTCAGTGTCCAGCATTGAATCATCGGAGTAGCTGTCATCTTTTTCAAAATTTTCCATATGAGGTGTTGACAAAGCTATCATTTCCCAGACTACCAGTCCGCATGCCCAAATATCTGCCTTATTTGTAACTGGTTCGCCATCTATACAAAAAATCAGAAATATATAGTTAATACAGATTGCAGTTGCTCGTAGTGTTTACATCAATATACAACCATGTATTATTTCGGGAGCACTCCAACATTCTGTTCCCACATACTGAAAGTCCCCCTTGGTCGTATCCATTTCAAGAGATTCTGTGAGAGGTACAGATACTCCAAAATCACACAGTTTAACCCTACTGTAGTCGTCAGAAACCAATACATTATAACTCTTCATATCACCGTGCAAAATATGAGCAGTGTGATGCAAATATTTTAATCCTTTAACAATTTCGTATGTTATTTTTAAAATGTCTTTAGCTGGAAATTGGTCATCACCAGCTTCGAGTTTCTCTTCTATCTTATCACCTAAAAATATGTGAATACAATTAGCATGTTTTACAATTTATGAAAATAGATAGTAAATAATTCCTATACCTAGAGAAGCGTCTAGTTTCTCCATTGCCAAACATGGATCGATCCGTTCGCCGTTTGGAACTTCGGTAAATCCTCGAAAACCAACAATGTTCGGATGATTTAACTTACGTAGCACTTCTGCCTCGAATCGAATACGTTCATTGTATTTTTTATCTTCTTGAACTCTGCGATTCCTCTTCTTTATCGCCCATGGTGATCGAACGAAACCCACTTTCGGCGATCGTTCCAAACAAAACACGCTAACACCTGACGATCCATTGTTTCAATAAAATTATGTTCATGCGAGTTCATTTAATAAGCAGAAAAATTTGTTTACCGCATCCATAACCTATCTGTTCTAGAAAAGGCGAGGCTGGTATTTTAATGGTCGTTTGTAATTCTGAATTGTCCTGAAGCCTACTTTTGTACCTTTTCGACGTTGGTGTCTTAAACTCTGCCATTTTATTTAAGTTATTAGCGAAATGATTCGACTGTATTGAGAGCGATCAATTCTCTTGTGCCTCCTTGGATCACTCTTTGTCCGTTAAATTTCAAATTTTTTGCTATAGGACGCTTCAGGATTGCCAACTTAGGCCAGAGCGAACCAGAGTCACACGAGCGTCAAATCGACGGATGTTGGTTGTCTCTCCTTCTTTTCCTTATAGAAAACAAGGAAAATTTGTCCCAGTTTTCAACTAGAAAAACAAGGAAAGATGATCAACGTTCGTTCTTTCAACGCTCATGTGACTCTGGCCTCAACGGGCACAAAATTTAAAAACCCAATCAATTTACTTTTTAAAATTATATCTTTTTATCCAGTTTTTATATGAAAATGCATGAAATGCTATCCTTTCCTTTTATTTATACAGAATGTTAATTATCAAATCAATGCAATCGATATATATTTGACGACCGTATTCAATTGAAAGAATTCAAACGTTTAAATAAAACAATTAGATAAGTAGTTCGCTGCTTTTTTAATGCATATAATTTTATAACAAAATGTAGGAGGACAATATTTATAGATGGTAATTAATTTATTTTCGCTCCTAAACGTACTATTGTACGTAACTTATTCTCAGAGACATACATACATATGTATACATAATAGAATACTTTGCCAAACTTCCCTTCAGATTATTAATAGATCATAATCACTTTTTTGCCGAGTTGTTTACACGCCTTTTCTTGTCTAGACTGTGAAACGTAACGTTATGTAGCATCTAAAGGTGAAGGTTAAAGAGGGAATAAATTTCTGCATCCTACACATCGTATATGGTGAGAGGATAAGAGCTAGGCCATTTTTAATATTCATTCGATGTGTTAAAAAAAAAAGAACATGGTCCTTCCGTTTTAGTGCAACAGCCATCGATGACTTGGTTTTATAATTGATCAAACCCATCTTGCATTACTCGATTATACATTTTTATTTCCTTCTTTTTCTACATCCTCATGACCTTCATCGGCTAATTTAGGAACATTTTCTTTGATCAATAAATTCACTTTCCCATCCAAGCTGCTTCCAGTTTCAATTTCATCCGAGGTTGTGGAATTCGATTTCGACGAATTCGTTTTGGTCAGAGTCGAATCGTTCCTGTTGGCAAGAAGAGATACTTGTTTTCTTCTCGCCTCATTGGACTTGTTGAATAAACTTATGGCTCGCTCTCTCGAGTTCGCAAACTTATTCGAGTCGTTCTCTTCCTTGGAAAGATGTCTTACAGGCAACACCCTCGGTGGTCTTTTGAAGGGTTTCACAGAAGCAGCTTCGGCTTCCATTTGATTCCCTTTTTTCGCTCTCGAAGATAAAGATTTGGATGTTCTGCCTCCCTTAGGCTCTTCATTCGGTTCCGAGGCATGACTGCGAGCGACTCGTTTCACATCGTCGATGTCTTCCGGGTGTGATAAATTTCTAATCGACGTATCGTCACGTTGTGCCATATCAAGTTCGCTCACTGAGCTTGCATTTTCGTTGATCGCTTGAGCGGATACTCCATCGGGCGTGAGAACCGTCTCTAATAATGTTTTCTGCTTCACGAGATCGCTGACTTTTTCAGACGTGCTCTTGGCTGTCGGTAGGACTCGAAGGTTCGTATTAAAATAGCTTTTGTTCAAAACTACCGCTTTCGAAGTGACGAAGTTTATTCTTCTTGCGGTATTTAGAAGCAGATCCGGTCGCCTCGGTGCTGTTCTACGACTTTCAAACACTCTCACTTCACGAATCAGGTCTTCTACATACGGTTCCCCTTCGTCCAGCTGAAACAGTTGAACCGGCGATGCCAATCGACCTTTCTTCGTTATTTGAAGACCTTGCTTCACATCTTTTGAAGCTGTGGAGCTAACAGTTCTCCGAGAATTCGACAATTTCTTTTTCTGTATTTCAACAAGCCTTGACGCTGGAGGCGATTCCGTTCTCGGATGATGCAACGGCACCTGGTTTACATCTGTAGTGCCCATACCATCTTGTACGTTTTGCGTCATCTCTGTGGACTCGTCAGTTGAATTAGCAGAAGTAGCAGTTTTACTTTCATCCGCATTCTTATCCTCGTCATTAAGGCCTTCAGCTTCATGGATATTCACTGGTATGTCCCAAGTGGATACTTCGAGGAAAGGCACGTTGGTCCGCGACTCGGTCGTTTCATCCTCTTCAACGCTGTCCTCAATATGCGTCGGGATGTTTAATTCAGTTGAAACTGTTTCTGTTTCGTACGTTTGCGATAGCGTGTTCTTCGAATCCCATGGAGATACGATCGCACGCGCCGATTCTATCGATCTCGGAACCGTTGAACAACATCTTACTAAATCCCTGCTTTCACAAGGCAATATCAACACTTGCTTATCGACGACAAGCTGAACATCAACTGAACACTTGGTGGAAGGAACACAAGGGCAGGAATCATCCGATCCTAGGGTCCTTGACGCAACGATGTAGATGTTGACGAATTGCACTGTCCTAAGCAGAATAACAAACGATTAACTTAAGAACAACGTGTTTATCCGGTTCAGGCGACTAAAAGCATTTTTCCATTACCAAAAGATGCATCCTAGCGCGATTGGCTTCATGATGACTGGATTTTCATTAGAACCAGCCGGTGGCGTGAATTGCTTCCAAATTAAGAGCCGAGCAGAGGAGGAGCTGTGTCACTGTGATTTTATACCGGTCGACCCCACTTAAGACTTAATATTTAGCAATCTATAGCTCATCTATTAACCAGACGTCCTTTTCAGAAAATAGCGCGGAGAAAGTGAAGGTATACAACCAATTTACAGTTTTCTTCCATGAGACCGCTTTATCTCGATGGGACGATATTTTCGAATATTCCGTGTCGTCCGTCTCAATTATCAGTCGTCCCGCTGTACGCATAGTGCCCCGGCGTGGCATGGTCTCCGCAAATTTATTAGTTTACCCTGGGCCGAGCTTTTATTGCATCTTTAATCGAGTTAGCCGGGCGAAGGGCGCCAGAATATAATTATAATGTTCAAGTAAATATACTTCAGGGTACAACAATAAGTCAACCGAGGCGGGAGCATGCGCGATATCGGCTTTTTCACGGGAAACCCGGTGGTGTGTTCATCGGAGATGGATCTCGCAGAACTTGTTGTGCACCCGCCACGCGCTTACGGCTGAAGTGATTATCAATGAGGGCGGCAAAACACGCGAGATAAACAATATACTGACCACCACACGTAAACCAAGTTATACTCGCGAAACCATAAAATTTCGTTGCGATTTCCAATATCGATTCGACCGTTTCTTTTTTTTATACGCGCTCATTATGCTAACAGGAGTTCTGAAAGGGTACGTTTTTTGAAAAGAGTGATTACTCTCGAACCAAGTATCTCTCGAATAATTAACAGTGTGCTGCGGCTTTACAATTTCCTCCCGCATGGCCTCCAACGTAGTTCAATGTTTTAGAACTCTCCTGTGCTGCGAGGATGAGAATTTTACGTGGAACGACACCGCCGACGCAATCGATCATCAGAATAGAAACAGTCTCCACGAAGCCTCGTCTTTCTTGAAAATCATTTATAGGGTAGTAGTCCCGACGATTGTGGCTAGCGGCCTTTTCGGAAATATTTTGATATTGGTAGTGTTGTCCACGCCGTTGTTCCGTGGAATCGCTTATATGTATCTCAAAGGACTAGCTCTTGCGCACGTCGGTGTTTTAGTATCTTGGATACCCATATGTACGTACTACGATGCAATCGTTAAAAGAGAACGTTCATACTACAATTGCGAACGTGTCCGATTTCAGTTGTCAGGCTGGGTTATGGCATGAAGAACAATTATCCGTCCGCGTTTTACCACGCTCACATGGAGCTGGTCGCAGTCAACATTTTCGCTACGGCGAGCATCTTGATAATCACTTGCCTGATCGTCGATCGGTACATTTTCATCTTCTTCCCGCCTCGCATTCGGACGAGAAACGCGCGGAAGAATGTCCGCTCCGTCATTTTGTGCTCGTTCATCGTCGGATTCGCGGTATTACAATTATTCTGGAAGAAAGAACAAATAATAATTGTGCCGAGCTATGCAGAAACCGGAGAACGACCCTTGTATCATAGAATAATCGTAACTGCCAAGCTACTTCATTTTCGTCGATTAAAATTTGCATACTATATTTAACATCATTGGGGGTGGTATCTTTCTGCACAACTTCGGCCAGTTAAGGGTGGAACAGTGATCCTAATATTTTTGAAAACCATTCTATAGATCAGTGCTCCGCTGACAAAGATGAGAACGGTGTACGAGCATGCAGAGGGTGCAGGTATTCAGTTCACCTTGCAGGAGAACACTTCCGTTACTCAGCACCCTGTGTGGCAGGCGTACATATGGATCATGGAGGTCGCGGTGCGCCTTTGTCCGACCTTGATCCTTCTTTTATTGAACAGCGCGGTAGTCAAGAGATTTCTGCACCTGAACGCAAAGAAAAGGGAATTTCAATCGGTCTCCGACAAGTATCGGACCGCGAATCTACCTGACACGTCGCTGTTGACCCGCAACCGCGGGTACAGGTACCATATAGCCGTTTCAGATCGGGTATTGTAGTGAGAAAAAGGGGCGCACTCTCGAGTGATGTGAAATTCGAAACTCTTGTTTGCTTTGGTTGAGTGCACCCTCCATTATATCTCGATTAATGCGGCCGCCTTAAATCCCTCCCGTCGACGCCACACATCAAGGTTATACTAAAAAAAAGTGTGGCGCGTGTTTCATGTGACCTTGGAACTACCTTAGAAACACTAAAAAAACATCTAAAAACCTTCATCTGTTGTAAGCTCGCAAAAAATTTGAAAAACAAATAATAGATGATTTATGATTGTACAAAGAAAATTAATTCGAAGATCGTGCTTTCCTAAATTGTCTTCTCTTCTCTTCTATGAACGCACCTTACGTCACAGATCCATGGATAACATATATCTATACGGTCGTATAAAAAAAGATACGAGCGACCTTCAAATTTTTTGAAGAAGTAGATATCCGTAGAGAACCTGTTTGTACCATCGCAGCAGTCTTTTTTTCTAGGATCTTCTTTTATTTTTTGGCGTGATAAAAACGTTTAATTGTTCCAGGCCCCGTGTCTCACCCTGTATAATACAAGTGAAGTTAAAACCGAGCAAAGCATCATCGAAATAATGGGCCACCCTTTTGAAAGCTAATAGCCATTGCATGTACTTGGGTAATCAATTTTCTTATCCACGTTAAATCATGTTTCAGAGAAGAACAGCACCTTGCTGCACTGATGTCGGTCATGGCGGTGTGCTTTGTAGTGACTATGATACCGTCGATCGTACTCCCGTTTTTGTATAATAATCACGAGCCCCTGGACGTAGGCTACCATCTATTCCGTTCGTTTGCCGCAGTTGCCGAGCTTTGTAATTACGCCGTACACATTCTTATATACTTGTCTTGTAGCAAAGAGTTTCGCGAAGAATTATTCAAGCTTCTTCAGGTAAAGGAATGAAGTTCAAATGTTTCATCCACCAATGCTACAAATTAATTACAATTCTAATACTTAAAATTTTCAACAAATCATTTTCTCGATGAAACGTCAAGGTCATCCTATCTTTTTCAGGTACCACAACATAGTTTTAATTTCCAATATAGCTCAACGACTTACAATGTTATAACTCTTAAATGATTTTCGGTTAAAAAAAAAAAAAATTAGGTTACACTACATTATCTGAAGAGGACGAGGGAATATCTTGACTCTTCATCAGAAGACGTCTTTTGGAAATTTTGTTGACAGAATTTTGAATTAGATCATTACGTACCATTTTGTTAAATACTCTGTAAAGATATGATTGTATCGTAAAAGTGGGATATCAATGTGTAGGTTTAAAATAATGAGAAACAACAATTTTGAATCGAACCTTCTCTGGAATTGCAGAATAAGTGCAGGACGAACATAGAGGAGGACATCGAACGACCAATTGGGGAAATTGAGGATTATAGCAGACACGGCACTACGGTTCGATTAACTCCTGAACCAACAAAATTAAATTCTCCCGGCTCTACGAGCAAACAAAATCCTGTGGAAGAAGATGGTGAATCAGAATTATTGAATGCTTCTGACATTGTTTAATAATCGTAGTAATAAAGTGCGAATAAAACTGTGTGATAATTGTATCATTGTCAATGAAAACGGTTCCAATAACATACAGGACTCTGGTATCTTCAACTTGCTTGTAACCCAAGATATACAATTTTGATTTCTTATCTTTTTAAGCTTTAATTGCGTATATATGTATGTAAGCGACTGTGACGTCTTTTGCGGACAAAAAGCAAAGCTTAGTTCGGAGTCTATACAGCGCCAATTTGGGTAGTGACAAAACGCTCAAACTATTAGACAAAATCGACTGTCGGTGATTTAGCACTCACGTTAATATGGTTTCACCAAATACCACGTTGACTCGATGGCAGTACTGTGTTCCGGACAGTATATTGAGAGACAAACTATATTGGTTGTTGGTGTGAGGGCAGCACAGTTCAGCTGTGAATCGTCAGCCAATCAGAGCACAACAATTCACTGCATTCTCTTCATTCAAGAACCTCGTTGCCCCCGGGTATGGTTCTTGAATTGAGAGACTACTGTATGTTTAATTAGTAGTATAAGATAAAGTGCTAAAGCTATTAATTAAAATCGTTGCTATTTTATGTACACAAATATAAATGTCCACTATTTGCAATAATTATGTTTTCAATACTTGATTACATCAATAGAGGACGATCACAATTCGTCGATTCATGAAAGGGTTATAAGAATTATGTATTTGAACGACAAATGAATTCCGAATTTTTGGTTCAGTATTGTATGGCGAATCCTCGAGTTGATTGAAATTGGAGGTTATATGCTTCCTTTGTTTTTTTACTGTTGATGTCTGTACGCTTGTAAATTTAATACATTTGATAGTGGCTTAAGGAAGATTTATCATTTTATTATACAATCAAATTTTATTAATTTTAATGTACATAATGTTAATGTTGAATATCGTGTTTCAGATTCACAGTTTTAATTGCGCATAATTTTAATTCGTAATGGCTGAATTTCCACTGAAAAAAGTGGAATTACACACCGACGTGTATATGGTATGTCTCCAGCATGCTCTATCAACAGAAAGCTTCGAAGTAATGGGTCTTTTGATGGGAAATGTATGTTATTATATTGTTTCATCTAATATGCTTTTTTACATCGCTGTTGCAACATCTAAAAAAATACTCTATGCTTTCATGGACATTTATGCTAGATAGTTGACGGCGTTGCACAGATTGTTGCTGTTCTTATTTTACGAAGGTTGGATAAAAAGAAAGATAGGGTAGAAATCTCTGATGTACAGTTATACAAAGCTGTTAACGAAGCAGAACGATTAACAGAGGAATTAAATCGTCCTGTACGTGTCCTGGGCTGGTATCATTCGCACCCACACATCACAGTTTGTCCATCGCATCTCGGTAAATTTACCAATCAAGTTCTCATTAAATATGACAGACAGATCAATTGTTTTCTGATAATGAAAATAATTTCCCAGATATTGCAACTCAAGCAACGTATCAAACAATGGATCACAATTTTGTGGGTTTGATATTCTCAGTATTTTCAGAGAGTAAGGAATCTAAGGTAGTATTCACAATTATACACAATATCTTTTACTTGCTGTGCCAATAATAATACATTTTTATAGGAACAAGAAATCTTTCTGACTTGTTTCCAATCACATCATGGGAAAGCAATACAAATCCCGCTAGAAATCGTGCATACGCCGATACTGGATAAATGCTTAAAAGTGAACTTTTAAATAACACACTTAATTATACTAGGAGTTTCGTTTAGGAATACATGTTCAGTTTTCCATTGCTTTACAGGCGATAACAGAATTACCAAAGATATTGGTTCTAGAAGAAGAAGAGATGGCAGGAAGATGTAAAGATAATGGAGACGTTCTTGCTAGCATACATAACAATGCTGGTCGGTATACTTATTTTTGAATCCAGTAATTTCAGTTAACCAATAGCGGATGATCAATTTCGTTATTGTTTCAGTGAGAACACGGACGTTGGTTCACATAACAGACACAATTACGAAGCCTCTAATACTGACATTTGAAAAAAGAATAGCTTTAAATAAATTACGTGTTGCTCATCTTCAGAGGCAATTACAAGAACTACAAAAAGTAAGCACAGATGAAAATCTTTTGTTGTAATTAACCACTTGCCATACGACGTATGATTGAATTTTTAGTAACGACCTGTTAAGTATAAATGTTATTCTGTTCTTTTGATATCAATATTTCAGCACTACAGGGTATGTTCATACTTGGATGAACATAAATTCTTTTTTTTATGTAAGAAATTTTTACAATCAAAAAAATTCTGATCATTGTAATTGTGAAGATAATGATTTTCTAAGGGGTTAAACAAGACAAATATTTTCTTCGTTTTTTTCGTGGATTTTTTCGAATACACATTCAATTTTTTTCCACTCCTTAATAATAAAGTTACTAAGTTTTTATACTATTTATTGTGTAAGAAAGAAATTAGGTTATATGTACAAACTGTACACAGTTATTTAAATAATAAAACAAGAATTTCTTTTCTTTTTTTACTCTGATGACTTTCTTCATTTACTATAAATAAGAACAGACAAAACGAACCCTTCAGTGATTATTTTTATTTTACCTTTCACGAACAAAGATCTGGCAATTAATTGCACAGTTCTATATTTACACTACGAGAACAACAGTGTATTTTTTTTTTTTAATGGACTTAAAGTGTATTCATAACACGGATTCTGCAGAACGAGAAAGATGTATAGGATGAGAAGGACTACGTGCTAACCTTTTGCGAGGCAGCTTTTCCAGAGTAGGTAACAATTTTGCGAAGTCGGGTCGATTTTCTGCGTGGTATGACCAGCAAAGCATTAAGATGTCCTATAAATTCAGTGAACAAAGTTATGTCAAAATATTGTAAAAATTGTACAGTGAAATCGCAACAAATGCGATGAAACTTTTAGATATAATATGTACTTTATGTACCATGCGGCACCATTCAAGACACTTCCATATCAAGACAGATATGTATATCTCTTTGAAAGAAATGTCTATAATGATGCTTTTGTCTATGTGCTTCTATTGTTTAATATAAATATACCTTTACATCACGGGAGGCTTGTAAATTAGCTAGTGTTTGCTTCATCCCCTTGCCGACTTGCCAAATGATTGCTTCAGGAGGCTGCCCTTTAAAGGGCCACTCTCCACATAAAAGCTCATACCACACAGTCCTGTTACGTCATACATTTATTAGATATGTCAATCGAAATGCAACAAGTGCCACAATTTAAAATAATAGAAAAGATATAATTTATTTTATTTACTTTACGACAATTCGTTATACTGACCCAAATGCATAAACGTCAGAAGCTTCCGTAAAAGGTAACTCTTCCTGATCCCGATTTTGTTGCGGTCTTAGTCGTCGAACAATTTCAGGAGCTAAATAACACAACCATCCGGGTGGTATACTCAATGCATTTCCTTTTCTGCATATAAAGAGAAAGTGTCAACTGTGAAATTAAGACTATGTTCCAAGAGTACAAAGATCCTTCGTTAAATTACACAATCACCTGTTTCCGTAACAAAGCTTTGTAACACTAAACAATCCGAAATCAGTTATTACAACTTTCCCGCTTTCTAAAAATATGTTTTTGCTCTTGAGATCTTTGTGAATTATGCCACGAGCATGAAGATATCCCATTCCCTAGGTAATAAAAAACACAATTACTTGCCTGTAGAAGAATTCTTAATATAGAACTTTCTTCGATCAATCTATACCTGAGAAATCTGTTGAGCGATGACAGTGGTTTTATTCATATTAAACTTATCTTTACGTAGATGAATATGAGTGTAAAGAGTCATGCCTTTGCTCATACTAGTCACTATCGCCAAGCGAGGAGGCTTCATGCAAGCTCCCATAAATAAAACTAGATTTTCATGTCTAGTTTTTCGGAATGTAGCCACCTTGAAATTTTAATAAACATTTAGCGTAAGCTATTCTCAATGGGAAAACTATTTTCTAATTAATGAAAATGATTAAACACTAAAAGCCATGTCGTACCTCCAACTTGAATGCTTCCAATGTTTTATCATCGTCTAAATAATAGTCCATGTTCAGGACTTTAATTGCAACATTACCATGCCAATAGCCTCTATACACGGTACCAAATCTTCCAGTACCTATAGGTTCGCCAATCTTCAATTCGTCGTAAGGAATATCCCATTCTCGCATTGACAACTATAACGCATGTTCATTTAAATATAGCGATGATTGCGTGAAAAGATATTTTAATGTAATTCAATTATGTGAAAGGTACGTACACTATTCTGTCGTGGCCAACGACTGTCACCTGGTTCTCCATCAGAGACTTGCGAATCTTGAGAATCAACTCTAACAGGCGTTCGTTCGGAATCCGTGCTAACGCTACCAGATCCGGAAACGCTTACTGTTCTCTCGCTATCGCTCGAAACAGTTGTACCTTCGAGTCGATGAGTCTCTAACGTGACACCTTTGTCATTGAGCACAACGTCTGCAAGTAAGCTCCAATAAGTCTCTGATCGGTGACTATAAGAAAGGTTAGAGAACAAAAATTGCTACCTGGAAAATGGAACTGTTGTTTGGCAGGTGCCTGTGGAGTTTGGCTAGTATTGGCAGGTAGCAAAGCTGGACTAGAAGGCGTTGAGCTGTTACAGCTCGAGGTATTTGAACTAGATTCCGTGCCCTGAAATGTATATCATTAAAAATATTGTGCACCGACTTTTTGATCACTTAAAAAGTTAAAGAACTGTCTCTATTCACCATCTGTATTTTCACAGAAGAATGTGGATGCGATCGTTTTCGATCCTTTCGATTCAAAGAGCTCAGTAAATTTGAGTTGTGGTGATTGGGAGACGTGATACCAGACTTATTTAATATCTGAGAAACATTTACCATAGCTGCAAATATTAGTCATCGTTAATATTGCTGGGAGATGCTCGTTTATACTATAATAATTAATAATGATTATTGATTTATACCGTCGCCTTGTACAGATCTTTTAAACTCGTCAAAGAGTTCCTGAGGTAGGCCACAAGAAGGTGGTACTTTGGATTCGCAATCTCGGTGACACTTATATTTACACTCTGTGCATTTTAAACCAGTGTCCATGAATATCTGCTTCTCGCAGTAATCGCACGTCATTATCATTTTAAACGTTTTGGTAAAGCGGTGAGCAATTATATGCCCCATTCCCCGGGTTACAGTAGTCGGAGTACGTGGTGACTTTGGCACTTGGAGACTTGTTACTACAAGTTAAGAAGTTAACGAGATTAATTATATAGAATGTTCACGCATTTATTGGTCAGAATCGTATTTACCTGTTCCCTTAAAACTGTTATCGTCGTTTTCCGTACTAGAGTATGGTGGTGACTTAATAGGGCTATTACTATTCAGCAACAGATTTTCCCCTGTAATGTCTGCGTTACTACTGCAAGATCCTGTCTCTGTAGGTAGACGATTTCTTCTTCCCACAGAGCCAACATGATCGTTTCCACAACTGCAAAAAGTATAGAACAATACTTGATACGCATCTGAAAGAATGTACATGAAGATTATTAGAAATCCAAGTACCTTGAAGCTGTATCTCCATTTTCAAGACGGTTTGCTAATTGCGATTCATGAGATTTTGACTTAGTCAATGGAAATACTTGTGGTTGTGATATTGTATTCTGTAAACCTATTTGATGTTTCTTACAGGGAGGGGGAGTTGTTGGAAATTTAATTCCTGTTGTTAAAAAAAAATGCAAATAAAAACATATTGATGTTTCATAATCACAGAAGAAGGATACAGCTTTGTATTCTACATAATACAAAGGGCAATGGAGAAAAACAGATTTCCTTGTATTACTTACCACGTCCTGACCTTTGTAAAAGAGGGGTAGAAGGCGGACTAGTTGATGATAAAGATGTAACGGAAGAAGCTTGTGCTAATATATCACTGTTAAGATTATTGTTGTTATTATGGTATGGAATGTCTTCTGAGGGAATAGAACATCTTGTTGCACGGGACCGGGCTGGCCTAGGGGATGCTCCAGTACGCAAATGGTGTCTATCCCAAGAATCCCAATATAAATTCATATCGCTATTATCCATATCTCCCTTTAAGAGAACGTCTGGAAGTAAAAATACATCGCATGACGATATCTGTTGCATCGAGTTGCATGGTAATCGATAATTGCAAAGAAGAATCGATGGAAACCTTACCCATATACCGACGAAGATTGTGCAATGCCCTACAGAGTCTACGTAGTTCTTCCTCGTGCCTAACATTATTTTCCCCCAACATGCTACCTAACTCGTGCTCAGACTTCTCTTTGAGAGCTTCTAAAGAGTTAGCTTTAGAACAAACCATCTGCAATCGATAAATAGATGCGAACATATATTTCAGTTTCATAATAAGATCCGATCTGGTCTGATCATACCTTTATAGACTCTTGTGTAAGTCCCACTACACGCAACCATTGTTGCAAAGATGGGTATTGTCTCATCTCTGCAGGCAACGATTCTACAGCCAGTTTGGCTTTGGTTACTAGTTGTTTTGAATATAATTTAATAAGCTTCCCCTAAAAGCACAGTGGAAATCATATTAACAATAATAAAATCCAGGTTCGACGAGTCATAATTGTTGGAAAACCATAAGAAGACCAATAATATATAGTAGACGAGATGTTTTATATACGTTTTAAATACGTTTTCGTTTCACTGCACGTCCATACGAAAGAGTGTTGTCTATCGTCACAGAATTAAAATAAATAAGAACAGCGTAGACGTTGATGTGCATAAAGGGGCAAAAATATCGAAACGTTCGAGCACGGAAGCACCCGACGCGCGTGCAACGATACGTGCCCCGAGTCGATAAAGAAATGCATTTGCAACTTGTTGACAGTCGGACAAGGCAGCCCTTCACGAGGTCAAGGCAACGGTGGCCGAAACGTAACAGAGCTAAAATCAGGAAGGAACCGAAGATACTCGATCGGTTTCGCGACGGTACCTCGAGCGTGCGAATTTCCTGTTGGGTGAGTTCCGCGCTGGTCGAACATTGTGTCCTCAAGCCTTCCAGCCGATCGGCTGAGATGTCAATCATGGATTGAACGACATCCAAGGCTCGACAGATCTCTTGTTCCGCATCCTCGTTGTCCGCCATCCCGCGCCACGATGACGGCCGCCTGTTTCCTTGTCCGCGAGCCCAACTCCTATTTCACAGGCATAATTACGCTCGCGTGGGGCTCCTGTCGGTTGCGGCTGTATCACTGGCTCTCCCCAAACCACTTATCAACATTGACAACCATCTTGGCCGCCTATCGGTGACGTCAATCGGTACCTGACGATCCGGGATCTCAGCGCGTTTATTCCAGCAACTCTGTCGCGTTCCTAAAATCATTCGCTCTTTGCTAACTTCTCACCGTAGTCGCAGAGTACGCCACAGGCGAACTTCCAATCTGCATTACCCACGGGACATAGGGACGGGAGATTTATAAACAGAAATGCTGCAGCTGCAAACAAGACGTCACGCACAATTTCTTTAGCCGACTATCGTCCATGGATAGAAGCGTTGGAATTTAAATTCGAATGTTTAAATAATCGACAGAATTATCGATAGATGGCGCGCGAGAATTGTATGTTGGCGCCATTCCTCGGCGATGCTACGGTACTAACTTTTGCTCTGAATTACTGACTTTCGTGCGTTCCAAAAAGTCTGGAGCAGATCGAAACCAATCACAGAGCGATGCGAGTTCTATGTTTCGTCGCATGAGAACGGGGCTTGAACGGTCGTCAGCTTTTACATGACACAACAGTAGGTAGAAGATAAGTGGAAGCACCTTGCAAATTCTATAGTACGTCTAATCATAGTATGCCATTGATGTTGTGACGTGTAATATTTTTTTAAACTAAATAAACAGCGATTTGGTCGCGAAAATTGGCCGAAGACGTGAAAATACCTTAGGTAAATCCGATTTGTTCGAGTCGTGCCACGGAATTCTGGTTAATACTCGCCGCGGTAGCGGGTTGCAGAGGTTATGTACACATCCTTTAGTTTATTCCGCGATCTTAGGAACTTGTCAAGATGCCGTCAATGTCGCACGCGAATTATTTACAATTACCCGGGTGAAACGCGAATTAATTAACAAGCTTGTTGCTCCGGATTTATTGAGATTTTCAGTTATCGTTTATTCGAAAAATTGGATCCTAGTAATGCCTACGAAGTCTTACAGTCGAGCAACCTTGGGATCGTTGCAATGATTGGTGTTAAGAATTTACTGTGGCACTTATTCCCAGTAGATAGAGATTGGAGGTTTAAAGAGAAATTTCTACATGTTCGAATAGCCGTCAAGTAATCTTTCATGAGTACTGTGTTTTCCACATTTAAACGCGACCCGTTTAGCGGCAACTCGTTTTGTGTGTGTTTTTTTATTTAAAAACTGTTTTAAATAATGCGCACACGAACTGCATCCATCACTACAATTTATTACCGTTTTTTTTTAATAAATACAATTTTTGTATTATCTAGAAAGGTAAGATGATGCAAGATGAGCATCTTGGTGGTCCACCGAGACGAAATGTTTTTAGTCAAGCATTAGGAAGAATATCACAGGTATATTTGGTAATTAATCTTTATCTATAACCATTAAATTGTAAGTAGGTACACTAATTTGATAAATCTATTTGCATTGCAGTTATATCAAAGATATTTGGACCTTTGGACCCCTCATGTAATATCTAGATGGATATTCGCTTTATTGCTAATATTTGCTTTTATTCTGCGTATATTTCTTGCACAAGTGAGTCTTATTTCTTTAAAATATTTTAATTATACCGTTTCAAAGAGATCACAATGAATGTATTTATCTAATTTTTGCTTTCAGGGATGGTATATTGTTACATATGCATTAGGAATTTATCACTTGAATTTATTTATAGCATTCCTCACTCCAAAAATCGATCCAGCAATGGATTTTGATGGTAACTAGTTAACCACCGATTGTAGTGAAATTTTATGCCATGGCACTGCAATTTCTGGAGCAATATTCTAGTAAACATTTTTTTGTAGATGGTGATGGACCCGAATTACCTACAAGATCTAACGAAGAATTTAGGCCATTTATTAGGAGATTACCCGAATTTAAATTCTGGTACTCTGTGGTGAAGTCCACGGTAATAGCTATGATATGCACTATGTACGATTCCTTCGATGTACCAGTATTTTGGCCCATATTAGTTATGTATTTCATAACTTTATTTTGCATAACAATGAAACGTCAGATAAAGGTAAGGAATCTGGGTTAATCTACTTTTATCGAATTTACCGATTTACCATTAACGCGATATATCTTTTCAGCATATGATCAAATACAGATACCTGCCCTTCACCCATGGAAAACCAAAGTACCAAAACCACGAGGATACTTCGAGGTTAATACCTTCAAAGTGAATAGGTGTGAAGTATGTTTGTTGATGGAGGTGCATAAATGTGTAGATTTCTATTTTCCCGATATGATGTGGAAAAAAAAGAATCTTTAAATAACGAAAGCAGTCAGACTCATTTTTTCAAATGACATTAACATACGGAAATAAGATCATTGCCTTGTACAAGAGAGAAAAAAGAAAGAAGAGAGAGAGAGAGAGGGGTTTACTCTGCGAAAGGTGTAATGCTAAAACAAAAAAGTATAATGTTGTATGGTATTTAAACTGAATTGTCGTAATATATTTGTATCATAAAACTTGTACAAAGTATTGTTAGGTCTTACATAAACGTGGACACAGTAACAATATGAACAGTACGCAGTTGTTAATGTAATATTAACTTATTATGTAAAGAAAAAAAGTAATTCATATACATAAGATTCGTAATACAATTATTAATTCATTTCTTAATCTCAGTAGTACCGTTTTCTGCTTTTTCCAATGCTTTTTGTTCTTTTCTAAACATTCCAGTCATAGTGTTGCATTGTTAATTTACGTCATGCATTTTGCATAAACGTTTGTAATTGAAATTATAATTTTCAACTGACAAATGACACAACCGTGGATGCGAAACTTCGTCCTCTGTTTCGATAAGATTACTTTGAAAATGTCAAGAAATTATTTTTCCTCGTTAAAAAAGATAATCACAATTTTTTCTGAGTGTTGTACTGTGTACAGACGGCGGTCAATCATGTCCATTAAACAGTTTTATTACCATGGAACAATTTAGTTCAATTTAGTTCGATATAAGGTTCAGACTCTGCGTCTGAAGTGAAACTGTGTTCTTAATATGTCAGCACCTCACGGGGTATACATTCGCTACGAACCGTCGTGAGTGTGTGTGTGTTTTATCAAAGATATAGGCTTATTGAAATGGTAGGTTTAAACGACGATACATCGAACGATACATACCATTTAGGGCTGATCATTAATCCCACCTCTATACAAACTTGTACATACGAACTTGTTTTTAATAAATAACTTTCCACGGGGTCGCTGACGCAAGTAAAATAAATCATAATAGCTTGTAAATGCTGATTAAGGGGTGACTCTTATAGTCCAAAGATCATCTGCTCTTAGAATACACTCTTTAGAATTAGTATATTATACATATATATATTATATATAATATATATATATATGTACTATATATGTATATATATATATATATATATATATATATATATATATATATATATATAATATATATTATATATTACATAATAATAATAATAATCTAATCTTTGCTTGTCTCGCTGCGGTGTCTTGTATTTGTGACCATTTCGAAAGTGAACTAATATTATGAATTGTACAAAATTACATGTTGTACATAGAACGGCTCTTTTGTAATTCTCTTGGTTCTCTCGTTCACGAGCTTCTTCTCACCATTAATGTTCTTCTCGACTGATGCATTTATGTTTACGCATACATACACACTTCTGTATAAAATATTAGTTCCTCCAATTATACCATGAAACGCAAAAATAAAGTTGTATGTAATCAGGTACGATTGCTCTTCGGTCTTTCACCTTGTTGTTTCGTTACGAACAGAACGATTGCTTTCTGAATCTTTGGACAAAGGTCTCCTCGACCCCGAACGAGCGCGATAATTAATTTATTCTTTGGTTCGCTTACTTTTCTTCTGTTCTAATTACAGTTTGCAAACAACGCAACGTTAACACCCTCTGAAACTTTTGTAGATACAATACGCACACGCATACACACGTACCGAGTTCCTGTAACACATTTTATAAATCTTAATAGGTAGTACTTAACTATAAATATACAATACAAACGTAACTATTTATGTACAGACGACTCGAGGAAAGTGGTGTCGAATTGTCGGAACGGAAAAGCAACAATTGTTAATGCATATTTACAATACATATATAGTTTTCGGCTTTCGCGATTATAAAATAGGAACAGAGTTAACGTAAGCTAATCCAACAAGTTTGTTACAATAAATATACTCTTTCTTGTATCTGGAGTGCGGAAAATTATTGATCGATCTCGATTATTATATTTTTTTCGTTCGGTTTCCGCCACAGTTATTTTACAATTGATTTCTCTTTAAGTACCGTAGGTCTACGAGGGATATTTTTTTTGTATGTGTAGTATTTTATTTTACGGTGCAAACACCCGATTTTGTTCTAGTAATTGTACACGAATAAACTCCCAAGGATTAGTTTCATTTTTGTACAGAGATAGCACCGTAAGTGGTATCTTGAAGGAACATGAATTAATTACGTTCTCAACATCCTCCGCGATTCTTTTTTGTAAACGCCGACAGAACTGGGTAAAATTACGATTATTCCCTAAAACGAAAGATTATTTTTCTATTCTCTTACGATATAATTATACATTGTCGTAAATATAATTTTTACCCAGTTCGACGATCAGACTCCCCGCAGCTCGATAAATAGGAATAATCTTTCTGTTCTACGTTCTAATCAAACTGTTCGGAACAGTTCTCTCTATATGGATCAATCATGTTCCCTTTTGTCGTCGACCGAAAGCATCTTACGTCTTTTTCTTTTTTTTTGCAGGAGTCCACTTGTGGAAATTTGAGGGGTGTCATAGCATTAAAAAAAAAAAAAANTATATTATATATTACATAATAATAATAATAATCTAATCTTTGCTTGTCTCGCTGCGGTGTCTTGTATTTGTGACCATTTCGAAAGTGAACTAATATTATGAATTGTACAAAATTACATGTTGTACATAGAACGGCTCTTTTGTAATTCTCTTGGTTCTCTCGTTCACGAGCTTCTTCTCACCATTAATGTTCTTCTCGACTGATGCATTTATGTTTACGCATACATACACACTTCTGTATAAAATATTAGTTCCTCCAATTATACCATGAAACGCAAAAATAAAGTTGTATGTAATCAGGTACGATTGCTCTTCGGTCTTTCACCTTGTTGTTTCGTTACGAACAGAACGATTGCTTTCTGAATCTTTGGACAAAGGTCTCCTCGACCCCGAACGAGCGCGATAATTAATTTATTCTTTGGTTCGCTTACTTTTCTTCTGTTCTAATTACAGTTTGCAAACAACGCAACGTTAACACCCTCTGAAACTTTTGTAGATACAATACGCACACGCATACACACGTACCGAGTTCCTGTAACACATTTTATAAATCTTAATAGGTAGTACTTAACTATAAATATACAATACAAACGTAACTATTTATGTACAGACGACTCGAGGAAAGTGGTGTCGAATTGTCGGAACGGAAAAGCAACAATTGTTAATGCATATTTACAATACATATATAGTTTTCGGCTTTCGCGATTATAAAATAGGAACAGAGTTAACGTAAGCTAATCCAACAAGTTTGTTACAATAAATATACTCTTTCTTGTATCTGGAGTGCGGAAAATTATTGATCGATCTCGATTATTATATTTTTTTCGTTCGGTTTCCGCCACAGTTATTTTACAATTGATTTCTCTTTAAGTACCGTAGGTCTACGAGGGATATTTTTTTTGTATGTGTAGTATTTTATTTTACGGTGCAAACACCCGATTTTGTTCTAGTAATTGTACACGAATAAACTCCCAAGGATTAGTTTCATTTTTGTACAGAGATAGCACCGTAAGTGGTATCTTGAAGGAACATGAATTAATTACGTTCTCAACATCCTCCGCGATTCTTTTTTGTAAACGCCGACAGAACTGGGTAAAATTACGATTATTCCCTAAAACGAAAGATTATTTTTCTATTCTCTTACGATATAATTATACATTGTCGTAAATATAATTTTTACCCAGTTCGACGATCAGACTCCCCGCAGCTCGATAAATAGGAATAATCTTTCTGTTCTACGTTCTAATCAAACTGTTCGGAACAGTTCTCTCTATATGGATCAATCATGTTCCCTTTTGTCGTCGACCGAAAGCATCTTACGTCTTTTTCTTTTTTTTTGCAGGAGTCCACTTGTGGAAATTTGAGGGGTGTCATAGCATTAAAAAAAAAAAAAACGAAACAGAAATCAATTTCCTTGGTACAAAAAAAAAACGAAATGCATTTGTTGAAACGAAATGAGTCGAATGGAAAGAAAAGGGAAAGAACTAAGAAGGCATGAATGAGATGTGTGAATGGCGAGCGTGAGAGACCAATGAAGAAGTTCGGTCGAGAGCGCAACGGAGATTCCAAATAAAAAAACTGTTGAAGCATTGTCTCGTACGTTCAGATCTTATGATTTCTCCAAAACCATCATCCTCCTAGAAAACAAAGAAACGAAAAATCTCGTTGCCGTTTCCGTGCAAAAAGCTAGATCGCATTCAATCGTTCCGGATCAAGCAACATTTACGGATCTTGTCTCTATTCGTTCTGATCTTCGGAGATGGCTTTCTTTGATTTATCCAGAAACGTGGTCGTCGAATTCACGCCGATCACCGTCGTGGTGGTCGTTTCGCTAACAGAGGAGTCTCTTTTTCGATACGGATTCGACGGAGGGCAATACAATCTGAAAATCAAACGACCCGAAGATCGGTAAACGATCCCGACAGAATGTCCGATGGTAACGATAAATAGGCAAAAATGTGTGTTTTGTTTCCTTACTTCGAAGGTGATTTAGATCTTTTGTTTGTTTGTTTGTTTGTTTTTTTACTTTTGTTAAAACGGAAGATTGTTTTTTTTTTTTTAATTAAATGGGGATTTAGGTAACTCTCCTGAAAAGTTTGATTTTTTCGGTTAATCGAGACCTGTGTGCGGTTGCTGACGTGTTTGGGGGAGAGAAAAAGTGGGAGAGCATTCTTAGGATAGTCTATCATTGAACGGAGCTTTTTCAGAGCTTGGCTTTTTGGAACGCAGTGATATAGTAGGGGTATGATATAATACCTTATACTCTCTGTTCTCGAACGGGGTGACCAATTGTTATAATACCTTCTTTCGGTATCCAGATCACGGGCGGTCGTCCATCGTACAATGTGATGCCTCACTGTGTTTTGCACTTCCGTGTTCAGGAAACAATAAAACAGCGCTACGAACAGGCCCTGTTAATAAACAATGTTCTTGTAAGAAGGAGTGATATATCAAGGGTAGTGGGTGAAAAAAGGCTTTATAATCATATTAATCATATAATATATATAATATATAATCATAATAATATAATACATATAATATATTATATTATATTATTATAATATATATAATATATAATCATATCAATATATCTTTATAATCAGTTTATAGAGCGTATCTTGAAGTATATTTCCTAAAAATTTCATTAAAAAAATATTAGTATTTGTAAACGCAGGAAACAATACAGGACGTTTAATTGAAGATGATATAATAGCTATATAAAGATATTTTACAATGAAGTTAATAATATTTTTGAATAAGGACCTCTCTCTCTTTCCAATTAAATATCATATTTTTGTAAGTCTTGCAGGAATATGATATTAAGCTTGTATAATACAATGAAATATTTGCAAATACTAATAAAGATTTATGTGCGATATAAAGGTGCAATTACTAGGCTTTAATCATGTTCTGATTCCGATTACCATACCAAATTTTCTGTTCGTTTGGAACTGAAAGAATATTTCGTGGACACAGAAATGTTCAGGGCAATTTTCTGCATCAAAATTCGTAGAATAAAAGTTCATTTATTATCGAAAATAGCTAGAACACATGATTCTTGCTGCTTTTATCGTAAGGTACAATATAAAATTCGGCACGAATTTTCTGCGCCTTAAAATGTAAAAATAGCGCCAATTAGTGCAGTGGCAAAATGCTTAAACTACTAGCCAAATTATCGACGGTCGATTTTGGCTAACAGTTTGAGCGTTTCGCCACTGCACTAATTGGCGCTGTACGGACCCCGAACGGAGCTTCGATATTTCTCCGCAAGAGGCGCCACAATCGCCTACGCGTGCACGATGCATGGATACCGAAAACACATTAATCGTGTTAAAATCAGGGCATAAAAAATTAAATCAAGGGTACGGAATTGTTCAGGAGAATCTACCCTGTCGATATCGTATGAGAAAAACGAATGGCAACGTTGCAAAACATCATTAATTGCTCTTCGAAGTTTGGTTAACTATTATGTTAACTGACTACGTATACATTTGATATTAGAACTCGCAATGAAAAATTGCCTACAACTAATTAAGTATAACTCAAATATGCGGCAAATTACTGTAAGGACACGTTGCTAAATATTTCCCATGCTGTGAAATCAAGAAAGCAGAGAGAAATTCGAAATCTCGTCGCAAAATTAATAAAAAAATGATCATCGACAAAACTGAAGTTAATAAATACTGGGATAATACTAGATAATTATCGTTGATAATAATAATAAATATAATATAAATAATAATAATAATAAAATATATAAATAATATATATATAAATATATAAATAATAAATAATAATAATAAATACTAGATAATTATCGTTGATTTTATGCTACAGATATTCGAATTCCTTCAACATTCATTAGGACATTCGCGGACAGTTCTCCGGAGTTAATAATGTTCTAACACCAATAGAACGAGTCAAGTTAACAAACGGCGTTCGACAACGTTACGGAAGATTGTGTGTCGAACGTAAAATCGTGTTCCATCGGTACACAGAACTCGGTTCGAAATTCCTCCGGAAAGAAGTACGAAGTACTTAAGAATTCGCTCCTCGCCGTAGAAGCCAACTTTTCGCGAGAGCGAACCGCTCTCCGCTGAGAACGGAGTACCACGACACGAAAGTCGTCTCAACGATTTCGCCGGCTCGAAAACGACTTCGACGACGATCGCGAACGGACGCACGGTTTCAAAGCGGAAAAGAAGCCGGCGGTCGAAAGCCACCGGAAACGTCCACGCGTTCTATCGAAGTTCCGACGACGTTCGCTTTGTAACGAGACACTTGTGTTCCGGTTGCATTACCTGGGAGGAAAGTAACACGGCCCGAGTATAGGAGAATGCATTAGCAACCTGACCCTCGGTGGGCCCCATCAGGACGAGCACATAGGTAACGCCGAGGAGAGGTATCAAGACGAGCAGCGCTTTGCTAGCTTTCCGATACTGTTGCGTCTCGGCGTTCGTCGCTGACCAGAGTTTCGTTATCAGCACCTGCGACATAGAATCGTTTTTATCGTCCTCCGCTTGCAAGAAGCCCGAGCGACAAGGACCGTTCGAGTCCTTCGACCGGTCGAGTTCGACCGAGTTCGGGCGTTTTGTCCGCGCACTTCTCAGGAATAAGATACACGAACATTGTACAGAAGCTCCGAGTTAAATTGTCTGGCCCGTAGAGAGATCGTTGTACTTGTAGAAAAATTCTAGGGCCCGCGAAAAGATCCTGCGACCTGTAGAAAAATTACGGGATCCACAGAAAAGACTCGAAGATCCCGGAAAGCAATGGTAGGTGCCATAAAAAGTCCCTGGCACCGATAAAAGAATCGCGTCGATAAAAGATCGAAGGTGCTCTAGGAAAGCTAGCGGAGCACCACGCGAGACTATCGCATCGACGTTTGCATCGGAACGGGGGTCGGCCGGTATAGCCGGCAATAACGCAATCAATGCGTACCCACTCACCCACATAATCATGACGAGGAAGACCACGTTCACGCAGAGCACCAGAATGGCCGGTGCCTGATAGAACCAGTCGTAAGGATGCGATACCATCCAGGGACAATGCTTTCCCAGCACGATTTCCTGTAAACCGACGGACACATTTATTACATCGGCGTGCCCTCGTAAAACTAGGCCAGACTTTTACGAGCGGCACACAAACATTGACTTTCTTTCGGTTGCACGCGTGTCGCCCGTTTAAATAACGTCTTATCCTTATCGGCGACCGGTCGACTCGTCCCCGGCTATATTTTATCTCGCCGCGTTACCGCGCGATCTAATTTCTCTCCCTTCTCAACATCGAGAGGTTTCCTCAAAATTGAGTTTCCGAGCGGCGCGCGCGGCTCGAATACGGATTTTTCCGGAGTACTTTCGCGACGCTTCCTTGTAATTTAACCGCGACAAACAATACAGTTACGTCCTCCCCCGCTCGAGAGGGGGGAAACGTTCGCGCCGGTGTTCGTTTCGAAGTCTCGATATTTAACCCGTCGCTCAAAACTTCGATGGCTGTCGCCGCTCGTGACATCCCGACAGCCGCGTGGCTTCGATCCGAGGGGACGCGCAAAAAGAGAGCTTGAATCGGTTTCGTTCGGCGATATCTCATTTCGCGAAATTCCAGCGAGAAATTAAAGCCCGTCGAGAGCCGGGGGTTCGTTATGAGCGAGCGATTCGCCTGCAAACGACGCGAACCTCTGCGCGGCTGTTTACAAAAGACTAAAGAGAGTTTCGACCGTTCAAAAGCGCTGATCCTGCTTCGCTCGTTACCCTTTTAATCGCTCGCACATTAGTCGGGTCCTTTTGTCCTCGTAATTGCAAGAAGACGCGATTCGTGATTTTTCCGTTTCCCCACAGTATCTCAGATGTTAAAGCGTTAGCAATATTTGATTTCGTTGCATCTGCCGTATATAGAGCAATCGTCGATTCATGTAATTTGTATATGCTCCGCCAAAGACGATTCGAACAATTTATTATTTCGTACGTAGGCAGAGGATCTTTGTGCAAAATAAAAATTGTCTACGTTAATTGTAAGAAATACAAGATGGTGGAAATACTTTTCTCTTTTAATAATCGTAATAAGTTGAAGTTAATGAAACAACACCCTTAAATTTGTCTAATGTTTCTTTGGTTCGATATTCCTGAGGATTCCCGCGATAATTCGAAGCAACTTTTTCCTTAGCGAAAATGCAATTCACGGCTTCGTTTACGAGTTATTAACGAAAAACGCTGACCAATGAGAGGCGATTTCTGCTGGCAGGAGGCGGCCCAGCCAACGAGCGCCCGAAGCCCGGCTCCGCTGACTGGCTAGGCCGTCTCGCGCCAGCCGATCTCACCTCTGATTGGTCGCCGTTTTTCGCTGATAACTCGTAAACGAAGCCGCGGATTACATTTTCGCTGAGGAAGAAGTTACTCCAAATGACCTCAGGAATCGGCCCTTACCGAATGTTAACATAATCATCGGACACCCTGCATACAGAGTAGCCTGTGCGAAGGGGTGGCAATCACCGGCTCGACCATTGTGCGCCTCGATCAACGTTCCTGAACGGTCAATAGGTCTGCGTCGGCAGGACTATAGACTAATTATCGAGTGTCTTGCCCATATCCCATCGTCCTCCGGCGTCACGTCCTGTTGCGGGACTGCGCGCTGACGCGAGTCGCGGACCGAAAATCATCGTCGGGCACCTTGGGGTGCGGGCGCGGTTCGCGACGCGGCGAAAATTGCTCCGGAGATCGGAGACCCCGCCCGTTAGATTCCGACAATTTGATCCCGCGTATCCCGGGACCGCCGTTTCGCGCCGGGAATAACGTCGAGTGGGAAACGTGCGAACGGCCCTCGCCCGACGGATAACTCGGTGAACCCCGAGGAGGCTCCCCCCTTTGTTTTCCTTGCGGTGTTGCTCGCATCCGAGGTTTGCGCTGGCCATCGACGGCCAACGACGCGTCCCGCGTTCACCGTTCCGTCTTCCACCCTTTCCGTATACACGTACACACGCACAAAGCATCGTTGACGTTTCCCTTACCTGATGCGCCTGCACCATGATATTCTGATCGAGCGATTTCGCGATCCCCCACGCCGTGATGAACAGCACCGGCATGCCTGAAATTCGAATCCGTGGAATTTATACTGGCCGCTGATGTCTCGCGAGCTTTTCTCGCTTCCGATTCTTTTCTCTCGAGCCTTTTTTCCATCGTTAACGCTTTTGTTTTTCGCTCTCGACCGTCGGTCGATCGCCGTTCTTCGGAGCGAAAGGGAGAGAGTGCTCGAAGTGCGCACAGCTCGCGGAAAAATTGTACGGTCCGCAGAAAGAACGCGGGGCGCTTACGAAAACGGTCGTAGAGCCTATAGAAAAATTGCGGGGCTCGCGCAGGAGCCTGCACAGATTACGGGAAAGTTGTGGGGCTTGCGGAAAAATTGTGGAGCCCCCGCGAAAAAAATGATATAGGACTCGCGGAAAAGTTGTAGATTCAGCGGGACAAATTGCGGAGCCCGTAAGAAAATTGATGCCCTTTTGGCGAAGCTTTCTCCGCCGAACGCGGCCGTTAATATAAAGATTAATTAAGTAGTTTCATTTTAGAAGTCCATTTCGAGAGCCCGCTCGAGGGTTAATACCGCTCTATTCCTTTATAATGCCGCTCTGTCTCGGCTCTTACGGTTGCGTCGTCATCCCCTTTGCGTTACGAGCCCTTCGTTCCCTTTTACACGGTTCTTTCGCTAAACTCCGGATTCCATGCCCTCGAACAGCGTATTAAGCAATTACATTTGCATATCCGTGCAGTTATATATTGCACAGCCGAACCCCGGAAGTCGGAGACCGGTTTTTTATGTCTTTGCCGGGGTCCCAAATGGGATTACTAATATTAGGTTGGCAACTAAGTAATTGCCGATTTCAGTTATAGCTGTCTCTTATACACATCTAGATGTGTATAAGAGACAGGGCTAGGCCGTCTCGCGCCAGCCGATCTCACCTCTGATTCTGTCTCTTATACACATCTAGATGTGTATAAGAGACAGGGCTAGGCCGTCTCGCGCCAGCCGATCTCACCTCTGATTCTGTCTCTTATACACATCTAGATGTGTATAAGAGACAGGGCTAGGCCGTCTCGCGCCAGCCGATCTCACCTCTGATTCTGTCTCTTATACACATCTAGATGTGTATAAGAGACAGGGCTAGGCCGTCTCGCGCCAGCCGATCTCACCTCTGATTCTGTCTCTTATACACATCTAGATGTGTATAAGAGACAGGGCTAGGCCGTCTCGCGCCAGCCGATCTCACCTCTGATTCTGTCTCTTATACACATCTAGATGTGTATAAGAGACAGGGCTAGGCCGTCTCGCGCCAGCCGATCTCACCTCTGATTCTGTCTCTTATACACATCTAGATGTGTATAAGAGACAGGGCTAGGCCGTCTCGCGCCAGCCGATCTCACCTCTGATTCTGTCTCTTATACACATCTAGATGTGTATAAGAGACAGGGCTAGGCCGTCTCGCGCCAGCCGATCTCACCTCTGATTCTGTCTCTTATACACATCTAGATGTGTATAAGAGACAGGGCTAGGCCGTCTCGCGCCAGCCGATCTCACCTCTGATTCTGTCTCTTATACACATCTAGATGTGTATAAGAGACAGGGCTAGGCCGTCTCGCGCCAGCCGATCTCACCTCTGATTCTGTCTCTTATACACATCTAGATGTGTATAAGAGACAGGGCTAGGCCGTCTCGCGCCAGCCGATCTCACCTCTGATTCTGTCTCTTATACACATCTAGATGTGTATAAGAGACAGGGCTAGGCCGTCTCGCGCCAGCCGATCTCACCTCTGATTCTGTCTCTTATACACATCTAGATGTGTATAAGAGACAGGGCTAGGCCGTCTCGCGCCAGCCGATCTCACCTCTGATTCTGTCTCTTATACACATCTAGATGTGTATAAGAGACAGGGCTAGGCCGTCTCGCGCCAGCCGATCTCACCTCTGATTCTGTCTCTTATACACATCTAGATGTGTATAAGAGACAGGGCTAGGCCGTCTCGCGCCAGCCGATCTCACCTCTGATTCTGTCTCTTATACACATCTAGATGTGTATAAGAGACAGGGCTAGGCCGTCTCGCGCCAGCCGATCTCACCTCTGATTCTGTCTCTTATACACATCTAGATGTGTATAAGAGACAGGGCTAGGCCGTCTCGCGCCAGCCGATCTCACCTCTGATTCTGTCTCTTATACACATCTAGATGTGTATAAGAGACAGGGCTAGGCCGTCTCGCGCCAGCCGATCTCACCTCTGATTCTGTCTCTTATACACATCTAGATGTGTATAAGAGACAGGGCTAGGCCGTCTCGCGCCAGCCGATCTCACCTCTGATTCTGTCTCTTATACACATCTAGATGTGTATAAGAGACAGGGCTAGGCCGTCTCGCGCCAGCCGATCTCACCTCTGATTCTGTCTCTTATACACATCTAGATGTGTATAAGAGACAGGGCTAGGCCGTCTCGCGCCAGCCGATCTCACCTCTGATTCTGTCTCTTATACACATCTAGATGTGTATAAGAGACAGGGCTAGGCCGTCTCGCGCCAGCCGATCTCACCTCTGATTCTGTCTCTTATACACATCTAGATGTGTATAAGAGACAGGGCTAGGCCGTCTCGCGCCAGCCGATCTCACCTCTGATTCTGTCTCTTATACACATCTAGATGTGTATAAGAGACAGCTATAACTGAAATCGGCAATTACTTAGTTGCCAACCCAATAGTTTATGCGACTCGAAGTCGCGGAGAGTTTATCGTTCGCGGTTGCAGCAATCGCCGCGAACAGAACCTTTCTCTAAAAGTAACAACAACCAAACAACGCGGCGTTCGTTCAACAGCATTCCCGAGGAATCTTTTAGCCGGTCCAGGACGCTTCCTCGCGAATGTTATTTCTCGATAAATCTCGCGCGCGAGCACGAAGATCCGCGGCGGTCGCGGGGGACACTGTGAGAAACAACAATCGACGGTCCTACAGCTTCGACGCTTCTGCTCTCGAATCGAGAGAAGTTTCTTTTTTATTCGCCGGGCGACGTTATTATTTTCTATAGAGCCGTTTCACGGCCCCCGGTGTCCGGATCCGAGACAACGAAACGGCGCGTCGAAATGAGAAATCGTTACCCCAGCCGATGACGAGGCACAGTCGCAGCTTGATGTTGTCCGCGGTGAAGGTTTTCACGACCAGCAGGAACAGGTACAATCCTGGAAGCAGACGCAACAAAGGGAGAATGGGAGAAAGAGAGAAAGAGTACACGTTCGCCTCTCGGTTCGATGAATAATTCATGGAGAGCAAACTAAGTTATTCCGGCCGGTTGCCTCTACCCAGAGCCAGTTACCGCTGTTGACTGCCGTTAATTCGTTAGGGAAGGGGGCGAAGGGGGACAAAGTTTTTCCATTTCTTGGGACCGCGACTTCCGATTCGAGCAAATGAACCTCGAACGTTACGCCAAGACGGCGGGCGATGCGACGAATAATTACCTTCCACGAACATCCAGAAATAGTTGGTCAGCTGGAAGTAATTCAGCAACGAGAGGAAGATTATGCAGGTTGGTATGTCCGGCTGCATCGACACCTGAGCACGAGGATACAATGATCGTTATGCCGTTGTTATTATCGTACTCGATGCGATTTGATATTTTATTTGACCGATAAACGGGCCGAGGCCCTCGGAGATATATCGTTGCTTCGTCGATTTCTATAATTATTTACAATTATTCCTCGACCGCGCAATAATTACTGCGACAGTAATAAAGACATTCTGATCCAAAGATTAATTTGTCGAGCGAACGATTAAGCCTTTATCCTATGCGAAACAAGCTCCGAGTTCTATCGTCTTGTTACGGTCGCGCGAGCGGAGACGAATTTGGTACCAAAATGGCGGCTACGCGCGGCGTCCGTATCGTTCGGTCGACGGATAACCGAAACGTATCGGAATCTATTTCGAGAGGGGTGTGATTTCATTGGCGCAGCGCGTAACGATGCCCATCGTTCGCGTCTGCCGTTTAATTATTGAAAAACCAGAGCAGCCGACGGCCACTCAACGGCTGTAATTAATTTTCCTTTCCGAGCGAGTCGGCTCGCTGGTCGGCTCCCGGAAGTTTCGCGACTAATGGAAAATGCGTTCGAACACGCTCGAATATTCTCCGGCCTCTGCACGCGGGAAGAATCGTTCGCCGGTTAAATGGCAACAATTAGCCCCTTTGCCGAAGCGTTACGAGGGCTATTGGTACGCTGCGCGTACGCCGGCCGCCCTATTCTACGTGCAGGGCGTGTTGTGCTCCCGCTTAGGCACCGATCAGCCATTATACGGAGTTTCGACCGCGATTTCGAACCCTTCACCTTTTAGGTACGGCTGAATTCTGCGCGAGGCTATTCCTCTGGACGGCAGAGTCTGATATGTACTGTACAGAGTGTCTGTATATTCTGTCTGTGTATTGTTAATGTTGGAATTTGTAATTGTTTATTTACTAATAATGCTATACAAATATGATACAGTGTTTAAAAAAGCACCTAGCGGATATAAAATGTACTTTGCGTGAAGAAGAGTAACTGTATGTGAAGTCGCGGAGATACTGTCTGACCGATCGTATTCTAGGCTGACGAACGCCTCTGTAGTTCTATGGGAAGTAGTGTCTCGCATTGGAACGTGTGCAGTCCTTTTATACTGTTCCTTCAGGTAAATTCCAGGTAAATGAAAGTCCTAATGTGTACCTAATGTTTCCCCGAGAAGACCGGGCTTGTACCTGTATTTATGAAGTTCGGACTTGTACCTTTATTTATTGCCCCTATGTAGACATGTGTGTGCGTGCGTGCGTGCGTGCGTGCGTGCGTGTGTGTGTGTGTGTGTGTGTGTGTGTGTGTGTGTGTGTGTGTGTGTGTGTGGGTATCGTTGTATATACCAACAGTTAAGATACAGTTATATTGTCAACAGCTATATTGTTAAGATAAGTCTGTATATTGTAAATCGATGTGAAGACAAAAGAAGTGTGAAACAATGCATATGAAGACGATTATTTGATTCAAACGATGACCGAGTGAGCTGCTAGAGTAAGCCACTATAGTGGCGCGTCGTGCCTAAAAGGTTAAATGGATGCATCTGAATTAAAGAAAATTCTCCCTAATTTTCCTTCAGCTTGTAAACACAATTGGAGAACTTGGGAAGAGGAGATACGATTATTCGAGCCTCGCGACTCATCTTTAGAGTTGTCGACAATTGGTAACTATAAAAACGAGCCGCAGGACTCGAATAATCGTATCTCCTCTTCCCAAAGTGTCCATTTTCGTGCGCGATCTGAGCGCGAATTAGGGAGAAATTACTGTAATCGTATCTCCACTTTTCGAATCATCCATTTTCGTTTGCAAGCTAAAGGAAAATTGGGGAGAATTTACCGTAAAAGGTTGAACCTGTGCAATTTCTGATCATGACGATCGTGCGATGAAATTGCTACAAATTCTTGTGACCTAAATTTGCAGCTAATGCCACCGCTGTAAATTGTTGCATCTGCAATTTGGGTCCGGCGCTGCAAATACGGGATGAATCGCAACTTGAATTGCAACCGATAACGCAATTGCCGAGATGAGCGTAGTCGCTCGTTGTCGTCGATCGACGCCAGTGATACAACCGTACAGAATCGTGGACGCATTTTCAGACCCCGATAACGCGACCGCAAAGTCGTCGAAGTAATCTGCGACCGATAATACGATCCCGTAGGACTGCGAGCTGTATTAAAATTCATGAAGCAATTGCCGAGCGAGCCGCGAGCTTTAATTTCGATTCTCATTCAAATCGGATGACGTTTAAGAAATCCGCGATCAACCTGTAGAATATTTCGGACACTGTATTCCCGCCGCCGCTACATGCTTTTTACGACCGTATTACAAGCGCGCGACGTGCACGCAATTTGCAAAGTCCGACTCTGAAACGGTGCTCGCAACAATTCTGAGTGATAATTTCGATCTCGTTCGAGTTGCAGAGTGCCGCGGACCGACGTATTAATATTCCGTCGAGACACTGAATGTTTAATCGGTCCGGCTTGAACAAATTTCAACCGTAGGACTCGATTATCGTGCGATTTAAAAACCGAAATTTATGGTAAATAACGATCGGGAATTAAAACGCGGGACGCCGAACGAATTTTCGACCAGCAGTTTAAGCGCGGTGCAAAATTTTCCCGGCGATCTTCTTCTCGCTGCAAAATTTTCCGTTCGCGGCCGAATTAGCCGGGGATAAATTTATTTTACGACCGCGTAACGCGCGGCCAGCAATTCCGTTTCCTCCAAAGGAGGCTATTGTAATTTCGTGTTGCAGCAACAAGTGGCGGTTGTTTCAATTTCCTGCGACTTTTTTTCCAGGTCAAAAGCTTTTGAAACTCTCTCTCTCTCTCTCTCTCTCTCCCTCTCTCTTTTGTTTGCTCTCGCGTCGGCTCTTGTTTTGTCATCAATGCTCGAGAGAGCGCGAGATTCCCGCGCGCTGGGAAATTAGAAGTCCTCTTTTGGCGACAAGTGGAGAGCGAGAGCGAGAGAGAGAGACGATATTTGCAACCGTTCAAAAACAAACGAGCTGGCCTACAAAATATGATACGCACCTGCATCACGTTGTTCAGGATCCACATCATGTCCGCCAGGATGTAGGTTAGCATCAGGTTCGTGTGGATGTTGTTCTTGGTGCACCTCAGCTCTCTGCAAATAGAATCGTTTCGATCGTTCAAACGTTCCGTTACATTGATGCACCATTTTCGTAACGTTGGCGCACTAATTCTCGTTATATTGTCGATGCAAACGCGATCGTTCGGAGCGGGGACGTCGATAATTCGATGAGATCACAGCGATAGAGCTTCGTCAAAAATGAATTTATTGTCAAACGACGTTTAGAAATGTAAATATTTCATTCCCCTCGTTTTCCAAGCTTTTATACACGTCTAGTTCGGTCGAACCGAGCAGTATTTTTTAGATGCATCTGCTCGCGTTTTGCTTGTATGTCGAAGGATTAAGAGCAGCTTACATTTAAAGCGCCTTCGTCGAAAAAAGGAATTACGCCGTCCCCGCTCCTCCGTCCGCATTTTCGAAGTCAAGCATGGGAACTGCGGGAAAATTCTGGAAAAGCCGGGCTCGATAATTTCCATGCTTCCGTGTAATTCAGCAGGAAAATTCGTTACGGTCGCGCGAGGGCGCCCCGTAAAAATTTGATCGGCGCGCGTACCGCGGGCATCGCTAATTTCCTCGAAGTTCATTTCTCGGGGCCGTGTCGGCTCGTAAAAACTCCGGCGCTTCCGTTGTTTCGGTGATTTATCGCTCGGGAATTCGGGATTTCGGGATATCCGCGCGAATTATTTCGCAGGCGCGAGGCAACGGAGGACGGGGCTGTGTCTGCCGTCGAGCACGCAGTATATCAAACGCCGACGAGTTTTAAACAGTTTGATCCCAGTTTTGTCGGCCCGCGAGAAAGCGAGATAAACGGCTGGCCAGACTGTTGCCAGTTCGCCGAAGTAATCTCGGCAGCGCGAGACCAAATTATTTCATCGACGACAGAGCGACGAGTTCGAGGTATTGTTCGGACACTCGAGATGCCGGTCCTCCGTCCGTCGCGCCGCAGCCATTTCTATTGTTCTCCATCCACTGTATCTTCATTTCGCTCTTGCGCGTTCGTTCGTCGTTTATTTTGCCATTGTCTAAGACGATAAAACAAACAAGCGTTCTACAGCTAGGTAGAATCTATTGTTCTTATCTATGCGCTATTAGTCGCCGGGAGAAACGAGCTTTTGCTTTCGCTAAATGGACAAAGATTCAAAATGAATAAAATAAAATATAGTAAATACAAAAAAGTAAATGAAAGGAAAACGAGATAAACGTCTGTTAAAAAGAAACGGAAGTTATTTATGACGCGACCTAATAAAATCCATTATTTTCGAGCAATCGCGTACAGTCGTAAAATGTTTGTTTGGGATAAAGATCCGCAGTATCGCGCATCCGGTTGCAAAAGGTTCGGACAATACGTTGTCGAAGAGACTCGAATGGACCGGGCGAATCGATTCGCGAAATTCCGGATCGAATTTCTGGCGCAGCCACCGAGCCGTGCGCCGATAGCACAAACGCAAACAGCCGGCACAGAAGCACGCGTTAGCGAAAGAAGAAAACGACGCTCCGCCTTGCCCCCGAGCCCCTAATCATTTATTAAACCGGCAGTTGCCTCGAACACGGTGTTTACACACGGGAAATCGAGAGCTCTCCGCCCAATAACCCTCGATCGCAACCAGCCCGGAAAACTTCGGTTCTCGGCCGGGTGTTTCACGGTATACGGTAATTTCTCTCCCAGAAATGTGCGGAGGTCGGAATCGAAACCGGCAGATCCGAGTATACTAAGTCGCGATTCTTTTTACCCTCGCGGCTTGTTTTCAGAGAAACTCGGGGCGTCGGCAAAAAATGGCAGCGGCCAGCATGCCGATGTACATTAATGCGAATACATAGCGATGCTAGGATAAAAACGACGACTTAATCTTTTTATTTCTAATTCTTTGCCACGATTCGGAGGCGATTCGGGGGCCACGTGACACGATTCGAAGGCAATTTGAAGGCAATATGACACGATTCGAAAGCAATTCGAAGGCAATATGACACGATTCGAAGGCAATTCGAAAGTAATATGACACGATTCGATGACAATTCGGAGGTCACGTGCCACGATTCGAAGGCAAACAGACCATTTTGTATCGTCTTTCGGAAATTAGCAATAAATGTAGCAATAAACTACATAGGCGCAGGGACCAGCGCGCAGGGAAGTTCACAGCAACCCGAAATATGGCATTTCCGGGAATAGTTACTGTACTCGCTTAACAAAATGGAAATATCGCGCGGATCGTCGCCGAGTTTTACCCATAATTACCGAAAGTTTCGGGCTCTTTTGTCGGGAAACTTCGCCATCGATCGGCTCTCGGCCAGGTGGCAATGTTTGCACGTTTTTCCGACGAAGTTGCAGAACTTTTTTCGACGGAGACCAAGACAAGGAGACCGAAACTTTTGTTAAATTAAAGCCGGCACTTCGCGGAACAAAGAAAAAGCAGGGGGGGGGGGAGAGCTGCCCTTGACCTTGAGAACATTTAGTTTTCGGTAAGAAGTTGATTTTTCTTGTTCGGTTGGCAAGATGGATCAAGCCAGGGCTGCGAGTTTCTTTCGCCGCGTGTCAAATGCTATTTCTTCAAAACTCCCGACGGATTCGAGAGACGCGCGAAGCGAATAAAATAGTTAGTTAGCGATGGCGGCACCGTTGTTTCAATCCGTTTCAACTTCAACGATTTAATTCGCGATCGTTCTGCGTCGCGCGGAGCATTCGCAACAGGTAAACGGGACGGGCGTATGCTAATTATCGGGTCGGAATTAAGCCGAGGGGCTCGAAGACTAACAACCACCGGAGACGGCGATTCCGGAAACGCGGATCCTGTCGGATACAGCGAACGCCGCGATATTTTATTAAGCACTGCCGGGATTTGAAACGTACACATCCGTGGCGAATCCAGCGGTTCCCAGAGGCTGTGAATTATTGACGCTACAATGCACCTCTGAACAGCCTAGCGCACCTTGAATGAACTATGAAGCGCGTTGGGAAACGAAATATCGCGACGATCCTAGGGCTTCCTTTGCCGCTTCTACAAAGAAGTTAACCCCCGTGAATATTTTACGAATCACCGTAATAACGTTCCTCTGTGCTACCCGCGTTTGCCACGCTGGTTAACGTATCTGCTGCAACGCCGCGTCGGTCATTTATCGCTGGCATCGCGCACACGTCGCGTTCAGAAATCGATTTCAACCGTAAGACCATTATTTTATCATTTCGTTATTCCATACGCCGGAGGTGGAATTGTTTGTCGCGTTGAATTCCGTTTCAAGGAGGATTTGTTTCGTTGGACGCGTCGACGCGTTCGATTAGCACGCGCAAAGTGCACCGCATGATTTTATATAACATTCCGGCTTGTCGGACGAAACGGTAAACGTGTAATGGCCACGGTTATCTTTTCAGTGTCGTACACGCTAATTAAACGACTGTGACCGTAAACCGTGAGGAACGTCGCGACTTTTACATCGACCCGTTCGTTCGTTTCAACGGCGTTTGGGAAATGACACAAAATACGGTAAATTCTCCCCAATTTTCCTTTACTTGCAAATAGAAATGGAGAATTTGGAGAGTGAAGGCTCATTTTTATAGTTTCCGATTGTCAATGGTTATAAAAACGCGGCGCAAGACTCGAATGATCGTATCTCCTCTTCCCAAATTGCCCATTTTCATTTATAATCCGGTCGTCAATTAGGTAGAATTTTCTGTATCGCATAAAATGTTCTACGAAACGGTGCGAAAATTCGTAAAGCCTCGAAATTGTCGATCGATCGTCGAAACAATCATCCAACCCGGTTCTCAGCAAGTGAAAACAGTTCGCCAATTGGGGCGTCGTTTGATTCCGTATCCCCGAAACAAATTGTAATCTTCTACGAATTAAAGCCGTCCCGAATTTCTACATAATTAGTCCGGGCACGTTCCAATCTCGAATGTCAGGGCCAGAGATCCCTTTGAATCGCGACGCTATCGATTCGCAGGACAGTTTGCTTTCATCGGGATTCGTAGATGTATTCGCAGCAATTTGTACGCTCGAACAACTGTACGTAATATGTTCGTAGGTAATGCGACCATGGAAAAACGAAGAGGGCCACACACGCGGGCAGAGGCAATAGGACAATAGCCGAATTTCCGCTGAATAGTAGTATATAGTCATAGCGGAGCGTTCACCTTTGTCTCTCTCTCTGCGGTGCAACATTATGCGTGACCAGGGGATGTGAATAGGCGCTTCGGTGAACGGCTGAGGGCGGATCAAGGGAAGCAGAATGTGTCGGAAACAAGGGAATTCGACGAATTCCGGGCCGATCGCGGAGACGATCCGTGAAACTCGAGAGGATTGCGTTAATTACTGGGTCAATGTTTATTCGACAAGTTGCGCATCGCCTTTCCAGCTGTCCGTGCGAGCTAAATACCGTTGGTTGACCCGGACATTGCCACCGAGGGATGCACGGAGTAGCATAAACGAGATGGCTGCAGAATGCAGACATCGTTTCGTCATTTTTCCACGAAAACTTTGCTAAACTCGAACAGATTTCGCGTATTCTCGCGGCTGCGATTTTTCTCGAAAAAACTATTCGGCTCGGACCATTTTCTTCGTTGACGCAATATGCAATTCTCAAGGAAATGCAACACAGCGATGGGAGTCCGCGGTGGAACCGGTCTCACCCCGTCTCCGCTGTCTTCTCGTTCGTGCGCGCCACACGGCCAAAGGGGCTTAATTGTCGTTATCCTGTCGTCTTCGGCGTTGTTCCCGGCGAATTACTCTCATTTCGAGGCAAGTTTTCGAGGTCTCGTTACCGACCTCTTTTGTTTGCGGCTGCGAGTTCCGCGCCGCGGTTGAAATAAATACGCGCAACGGGCGCTTTGCCCTTGTCCGCTCCGCTTCGGTCGCCGTCGCGCCGAGTTTCCGCTCTGTTTCCGAGCCGCGCGGGCACGGTTTCCGTCGGTTCCGCAATTTTCTCGGGATAATAAATAAACCGGGCGCGGACCCGTCACACAGATTCTCACCGGCGACGCGAGAATCGGACGCGACGCGAGAAAGAATTTTCGCGTTTCGTTACCGCTGTCGATCGCGCGTCGCGCGAAAAATCTCTCGCGAGACACGATTTTCACGTCGTCGGAACGTTCGGTCGCGATCGTACGGAATTCGAAATGCGATAATTAATTTTTCGTCGCCCGACCGCGAACGTTTTTCTGCGGTCTTCCGCGTTAAGAAGTTCGACGTTGCCTCGATATCGGCGGAAAACTTGTTCAATCGTTCGGAAATACAATAACATCTGGACCATCTGGAAGTTCATGCATATTTAAACACACCGACACAGTGAAATTTGAAGGAATTCAAATTAGGAGAAACTGGCTTGTCCGAATGTCGGCGCTCTCGGCGAGCCGGGGGCGAAATGGAACTGCATTAACTGTTATTAAGTCTTGAAATCTGGCAATTTTGCGGAGATTTTGGTACGAAATTAAGGGAGAAAGCACCGTGAACTAATTGCAATCCGGGCCGGTTTTAAAGCGAGGAACGGACGAGTTTTCCGCATAGATCGTTTCCTCCTATAGGCGAAACGACGAAAACGTCTGTAAATCTTCCGCCTTCTCGCAATCAACGGCGGCGGCGGATCTCCATGACGCGTAAAAACCGGAATACCGATTCACTTTTAATTCCAGCGTTTCGAGCCGACATTACCGCGAACACGTATACCTTCCTTCCGCTTTCATTTCGCCGTCGAGCGCGCGACGAACGGAATTAAAACAATACCGACGCGGCGTTAACGAAACACGACGTTGGGAACGCTCGCCTGTTTCAGCCGCTTCGCAACAATGTTACGCGCCTCGCGAGAATTCTCCTCCCTTCCGGGGCGAGGGCTTTTTCTCACGCGACGTCACGGATATTATACAGTTAATTTCCGCTAAGTCTCGGCCCCGTTTTTATCAATGCCAGCCGCCGGGAGTTTTATTCTTATATTTATAGTCGCCTCCCTCGGCGGAACGGCGCCCCAGAGGACGTTCCCCTCTCGGCCGATGATAAAAAGACGAAACGATTATGCTTACCCGTGATGCCCTTCGTTACGCCGCGCCGGACAGTTTTCGTGGTCTCTGTGAAACTCTCTTAAACGGAATGTCGCCACCGCGATCGATGTATCGCGAGTTTATCGCCTCCTTGGATCGATTGCTCTTTATCGTGCGATTAACTGGCTAATTATGCAATTTCGGAATCGATGCAAACGCTTGCACACGGACGGTAAACATGAGGAAAATTTTTGGAATAGTTTCGAACAACTTCGAACGCATCCGATGTACTCGAATACCGCTTGTCGTCGACGAACGAAAATTAGGACAGCTTCGAACGTCTGCGAACAGCGTTCAAACACGTCCGAAAATTCGGCTCGGCGCTGATCGCGCGAATCTCGGACACTTCTAAACACAAATAATTTTTAGAAACTTTCAAACCGTTCCAAACACAACTGGACACTCGGACATGTTGTCGCGTTGTCGTTTCAAGAACGATTTTCTATTCCGAACGTCGAAGCAACTTCTTCGAAAATAATATTCGGCGTCTCGAAAAGCTTCTCTTTATACCCTGAATCTTGGACGAATGCTTTCGCGAAGAATTTCCAGGACTAAAGAATGAATAATACACGAGTCTTACTTGCAGTAGAGGAAAATGGAGACGGCGACTATCAGGGTGAACAGGGAGAGACTGTAACCGATGAAGTAGATCGTGGTCGAGACGATTTCCGTTCCGCCTTCGATCGAGGTCTCGTGCACGTCTCTGCAGAGGCTGTAGTTGGAATAGTTGCTCCAGGTCCCATCGGGCAAGCACCAACGGCTCACGTTCTCTGGAAGAACAAAGGTCACGGGGCCGCGTGTTAGTATTCACGGTTTAATGCTAGATTTTTCAACGGGCTCTCGCGAGATGTATAATGACTTTATTACCGGCGAAGCGAGCTCTGGGGAACGTGTCAGACGGAATACGAAACACGATTTTTCTGTTCACGGACGACTGCGTTCAACGTATCGCGACGACCCGGAGTGCCTAACCGAGAGAGGTCCTAGAAACTTTCGAGCCAATTCGGTCCACCGTGAAGCTTTTTTTAAACGACGCGACAAGAGAATTTCTGCCGATTTTATACTCGCCGCCTATCAATTCCATACTTTGCCCGGGTACGACGTAATCACGATTGTTACGGAAAGTTTGTCGTGATTTGTAAAACGGAATATAATGGCACAGGAGCCTTGAGCAAGAGGTCCTCGAAAGTTCGAAGCTCGTTCAACTTTAACTTCTCTAACGATACAACGACGATCGCGTCTCTTTCGGATTATACGCGCCACCGATGGTTCATTTTCATTAAATGTACTATAAATTGTTGGGGGAAGGTTCGTTATAATTTATGGAACAGGATACGCGAGGTAAGCAAGAGCTTGAGATACGCGTTCTTGGAAGTTCGAAGCGAGCTGGACCCTCCGCGGAGGATTTTTAACGAACCGCGCGATAATTGTGATACTTTTTAATCTTATGTCCTATCAATTGCACATTTTAATGAGATGTAACGCACTCTCGATGCTCCCAAGAGAGGCATTTATGTAGTAATTTACGGAACGGCCGGAGAGAGTCCTATTAAATCCTCGAGAGTTGCAAGCAAGTTGAACCCCCTCGAGACTATTTTCAACAAAGAACAAGATAACTGTGCTCCTTCTGGATTCGCGCTTCATTAATTCTACATTTTAACTTTCATAAACTACGGTCGCGACCGGCATAAAAATATTGCAGCATCGGAATTTCGTCGACCGGCCGGAAATTTTCGTAGCGGAAGGACCGAGTATCGAGCAGGCTATGGTTGTCGTTTACGTTGGAGTTACGGTAAAAAATGGACGATTTGGGAGCTCGCTTTTATAGTTACCGAATAACTATAAAGTTAAGCCGCAAGAGCCGGAGCAATCGCACCTCCTCTTCCCTAATTGTCCATTTTTGTTTCCAAGCCGAGCGCCGATCGGGCAAAATTTACCGTAATTCGAAGTTCTATATAAAATAGAGGGTGAAACAATTTCGAGCAGCCGGATATTGCGATTTAGCAGCTGTAAAGTTTCGTTTGCAATTTGAGTTTGTGGGGACAACGGGGGCAGTTTGCGTAAATTATTTTTCGCAGGCAAAAGGGAGGTCGCTCCCGATATCTCATCCGCTATTTTTCGACAGTACAGAGAGGAGAGAGCCCGTCCACAATTTCCCCTCTCGTCTGAAACTTTCCATCGGCTCGCAATCAATATTCTCCCATGTGCAGCGTTTAAATATAAATGTCGGGAGCGCCCCGTCGCCGGAAGCGAACGGAATCGCGGATTTTTCGCAGATAATCTCCCGCCCCTCGAATAATGGCGACGGTGAATCACGTAGCGGCCGGAATATTGCTCCTAAACGCCTCCTTATCTCCCTTACGGGAGATACCGGCGACGTTGGCATAGCACAGTGACTTCGCGAGTTTACGAAATATACTTCGACACTCGATACATCGGACAATGAAGCCCGTTTTATCCAGCTGCTTCCTTTCAAAATGGATATTCCAGTTTTTCATCGCTTCGATATCGTTTCGCGAACAGAGATCCACCGTCGTTCTTATTTCCCGGGTCTTGCGCGAACATATGCGACGATCGTGCCGTCGGCGCGGAATAGAAAGGACCCAGCTGATTAAATTGTCCTTAAAGGTTTTTTTAATGAGTATAATAAAGTATAATAAATTGAAGAAAAATTGAGCGCACTGCTCGCGATAGTACCTTATCTCAGGGAATTAATAAAAAACAATACTCTACTTTTGTCTTCGAGAAATCTTCAATATTCTGATTTTTTTTTTGGTTTTTCATTTTTGATAACCACAGTTTACAACCGGAAAATCTGAAAAAATTCTATAACGTGCGGCTCGACGTCCAAAATAAGCCATATTTTTCCAGAATTTTAAAAAGCCACCGAAGGGAGGAAATGAGTGGGAAAGCTAACTACCCTCAGGGACTAGTTACAGGGCTGAAATTTTGCACGGATGAGTTTTTCTCGATCAGCCATCTGAACGGTATTATACTTGTTAAAAAACCTCTAAGGGCAATTTTGACCATTTTAATTGACCCGTAATAAAGGGCTGAGCTCTTTCAAGGTAGAGCCGCGATTAAAATTAACACGGTCTACGTTCGTACGTAAATGACAGTTTTCGAATCTCTACGAATGTTTATTCAAGCAGCGTTGGCAATCCAGCTGGATCGAACAGTTCGGAAGTTGGAGTCGAAAGGTGCAGCAGGAAATTCCACGATTTTCGCATTGGAAAATTTGTTTGCGTTCAATAAATCTCTCGAAATGTGTTTTTGAAATCTGTCTTTGCCAGCAAATGGCTTCGAGTCGCGGAGAGCGCACAATGGAACAAAATGGCCCCGAGGTATTCGGTGTCAACCCCCTTCGGAAAGGGTTGAAAGTTCACCGGCGAAGTCAATTTGCATATTATATTCTGCATTCAGCTGCAACGTGAAGCAACGATGATTATTTTATTATTATGGAATGGAATAATTGAAGATAAACTTTAAAAATTGGTAGATGCTGACGAGGTTAACGATGATACCACCGGGTCGGACAAGATGGCGGATAATAATGATTGATTTATTACCTTAATTCGTGATTCTCTGAGAGTTAGAAAAATCCATTGGTGGACAATTAATTACTAAATTTCTTTCTTTGGAATCAATATCGCGATAAAAATGGCATAAATGTCAATAAACGTGGTCCTCTTTATAAAATAACATAAAAACATCATTTTGAAAATCTCTTCGTAGGTAATAAATTCCGAAATAATCGTTTTCACTATATTTCTCGTAAAAGAGATACCGTAACTCACGTGACCCCTGTCCAATGGATCAAAACTGCCTCCCATTTCGCTATCGCGAACTATAAATTTCCAGATAAAAATCCATGATCCCAATTTTCCCATTGCACAATAATCTCCCTGCCAAATAGGCGCGCCCGTAAAAATCTGTTTCCACAATTTGTCCCCGTTGGTAAACGGCTCGAGGATACAGTACAATGCGCGTACAACCATAATCCGTCGCAGAACGGTCACAATAGATCGAAATGGCCCGGGGACATTTCGCAGCAGCCCCTCGGCAACGGTTAAAGGTTCGGAGCGCAGAGGTGAACGCTCGATTCCCTGTATAAACAGTGAATTACGTATTCCGTCGTGGTTTTTTTATCCGTGTTCACGCTACAATACCGAGCTGTCCGTCGAAAATCACCCCGAGAAAGGATCGTGTGACACCGGACGCCATTTATACAGACCGTCACGGATATCGGTCGACGCGGCGTTTTGCATTATTCAGCGCCGACGAAAGAAAGCGACGAACCGAATCGATAAAAGACAAGACGGAAAGGCCTAAAACGGCTAAAACTGGACCGGTCTCTCTCTCTCTCTCGGCCTTCGTGCGAGCAGCTCTTTCTTCATTTGCATCGGTGTCCAGCTTTCATCGTGTCACGGCTTTGCGCGGCGGTCGCTGGATAATTAATGAAGTAGCGCGATACGCCGCCAACGGGACACCTTCGTTGAATATTCCCTTCTTTGAAATCAGCGTCGCGAATTAATTAGGAGAAGGACTGACGAGATCAAAGTCCGACCGTGTCGCTTGCACGCTTCGCGCAGTGCGCTGCCGGTGGCCATTTATTTTCTTCCAGGGAAAATTGAAGATATAAGTCGGCCGGATCGACGCTGCGATCTTAAAAATGACTCCTTCTGTTCGTTTTCACCGAAATTGTTGTTTCGCGATCGTATAGGATCGGTTTGATAAATGCTCCATCGTGGAATGGGCATTTCATTGCTTTGTTCGAATATGCATGAACGCGAAATTGAAAATTCTTTACGGGAATCGGGCTTGAAATATTGTTCGCTTTGAGAATAATTGTCCTTGCTGTTTCGAGGCTGTAATCGAGAATAAACTTCACTGTGCAACATATGTTTAATCTATAGTTCGAATACGTACGGATGAATGTAGGAACGAAGACAAAAATTTCGATCGAAACGCATATTCTTATTATCCTAAGTACAATCGCAAATAAATAGATTTGCTATCAATTGATGGAATCGATTTGCTATTTATATATTATATATAAACGATTGTACAATCTTGCTTCACGAGTGAAAATTGATTTATTTAAATTTATCCAAGAGAAAAGATGACAAAAAATTGTTTTCTCTGAAAATTCGACTCTCGCTAATTTGAAAAGCTTCAAAGCGGAAACAGGGAGATTAATGCTGAAACTAATCGCTCGGTTGACAGCAAAGAACGTCGGGAGGTCGTGGTGGTGGTGGTGGTCCGGAGACTGAAGTTGCAGGGAGGAAATTAAAATCGCTTCCAGAAAAGATATTTAATTATTTACACGAGACAAAACCGAGCACGCGTTTTTTCCCGTAGAATTTTATTTCTCCCCGGGAATATCAGAGGGACTGGAATTCCTCGTTCCGAGAAAATTAATCCCCAGTTTCGAAATAAGATGGCGGCCAGCTGGTCTTCGGCTGACGAGCTTTCGCCGTTCATGACCGTTCAGGGGAAATCCCGGCTATAGCTGCTCGCTTATGGCCGCGATCCTCTTTTCCAGCTTTACTTCGGCCCTTGTACTCCGGGGGAGAAAGATTGAGTTTTCTCCGTGTGTCCAGCCCGCGTCGGAACAATTCTTCCTTAATCACTATCTCTGTTTGCAGACCGTCCGCGCCATTTCTCGGAGAGACGCGGCGCGACTAAACTTCGCAGCTTTCGTCGAAATACGAAGACGCAAGTTGCGAGTTTAAGACGCGAGCTTTCAGTTTCGATCCCCGGGGGGACG